CAAGAGAAGGCAGAGATCTTTTGCAAGACAATCTTGGAGGTCTTAAGCTTAAAATTCCACCATTCCATGGAAAGAATGATCCAGATGCTTATTTGGAATGGGAGAAGAAGATTGAAATTGTTTTCAACCTTCAGCACTACACCGAGATCAATAGAGTAAGAGTTGCTACAACTGAATTTTATGATTATGCTCTAAGTTGGTGGGATCAGCTAGTTACTTCAAGGAGACGCAATCAAGAGCATCCATTGGAATCTTAGTCTGAAATGAAAGCTATCATGAGGAAGAGATTAGTTCCTAGTCACTACCACCGTGAGTTGCATTTAAAGTTGAGGAATCTAACACAAGGGAGTCGATCTGTTGAGGAGTATTATAAGGAAATGGAGACTTTGATGTTGCGAGCTGATATTTTAGAAGAAAGAGAAGCAACTATGTCAAGGTTTCTAGGAGGTTTAAACAGAGAGATCCAAGATAGATTGGAGACTCAACACTACATGGAAATGGAAGAGATGTTGCACAAAGCGATTCTGTTTGAGCAGAAACTTAAGAGGAAGAGTTCGTCACGATCTAGTTATGGTTCAGGAACCGTTGCTAGTAAGTCTACTTATCCAAGAGAGGAGAGAACCAGCAGCTATCAAAGAGAGAACAAACCGTTTGTCAATTCAAGAGCTGAAAGTAAACCATATGCTGCAGTTCAAGATCACAAAGGAAAAGCTGAGGTTACTACTTCTAGTGTTCGTGATGTTAGGTGTTACAAATTTCAAGGAAAAGGGCATTATGCTAATGAATGTCCCAACAAAAGATTCATGATTCTTCTGGATAATGGAGATATAGAATCTGAAGAAGAGATCCAAATTCACCTATTTCGTTGGAAGCAAATGAAGAGCTGCCCGCTAAAGGAGAGTTGTTAGTAGCTAGGAGAACTTTGGGCGTCCAAACTAAGAGCGAAGAGCAAGAACAGAGAGAAAACTTGTTTCACACGTGATGTCATGTACAAGGAAAAGTTTGCAGCCTCATCATTGATGGAGGAAGTTGTACAAATGTGGCAAGTGAAACAATGGTCAAGAAGCTTGGATTGACAGTGGAGAAGCACCCGAAACCATATGATCTTTAGTGGCTTAATGACAGTGGTGAAATGAAGGTTAAAAATCAAGTTGTTGTGCCCATTGTCATCGGAAAGTATGAAGATGAGATCTTGTGTGATGTGTTACCAATGGAAGCTGGACACATTCTTCTTGGGAGACCGTGGCAATCAGATAGAAAGGTGAATCATGATGGTTTTACTAATCGTCATTCATTTGAGTACAAAGGAAGAAAAACCATTCTGGTCCCCATGACTCCACATGAAGTTTACCTAGATCAGATGCATCTAAAGAAGAAGGAAAAAAAGGTTGTCAAACACTCAAACTTCTTTGTGAAGGCTGGTGAGGTTAAGAAAGCTTTATTCTCTAAGGAACCAATGCTACTGTTTGTTTTTAAAGGAACTCTAACGAGTTTAACTAACCTTGCACCGGTGCTGCCGAGTGAAATGACTTCTCTTTTGCAAGATTATAAAGATGTATTTCCTGAAGATAATCCAAAAGGACTACCACCAATCCGTGGGATCGAGCATCACATAGATTTTGTACCCGGAGCTTCACTTCCAAACAGACCAGCGTATAGAACCAATCCCGTGAAGACAAAAGAGCTACAAAGGCAAGTGGACGAGCTCATGGAGAAAGGACACATTAGAGAGAGTATGAGTCCATGCGCCGTTCCAGTCTTGCTTGTGCCTAAGAAAGATGGTAGTTGGAGAATGTGTGTTGATTGCAGAGCCATCAACAACATAACGGTTAAGTATCGCCATCCTATCCCTAGATTAGATGATATGCTTGATGAGTTGCATGGTTCTAGCATATTTTCTAAAATTGATCTTAAAAGTGGATATCATCAAATTAGGATGAAAGAAGGTGATGAATGGAAAACTGCATTTAAAACTAAACATGGGCTGTATGAATGGTTAGTCATGCCATTTGGGTTAACTAATGCACCTAGTACATTCATGAGGTTAATGAATCATGTTCTGAGAGCATTCATTGGAATATTTGTTGTAGTTTACTTTGATGACATCTTAGTTTACATCAAAAACTTAAGTGAGCATATAGAGCATTTAGATTCTGTTTTGAATGTTCTTAGGAAGGAAGAACTTTATGCCAACCTAAAGAAATGCACATTTTGCACGGATAATCTTGTGTTTTTAGGCTTTGTTGTGAGTGCAGATGGAGTTAAGGTTGACGTAGAAAAAGTTAAGGCTATTAAAGAGTGGTCAAGTCCAAAGACTGTTGGAGAAGTAAGGAGTTTCCATGGCCTTGCTGGATTTTGTAGGCGATTTGTTAAGGACTTCAGTACCATTGCCGCACCACTCACAGAGATTATCAAGAAGGATGTAGGATTCAAGTGGGAGCAACCGCAAGAAGAAGCTTTTCAGTCTCTTAAAGAGAAACTAACTAATGCACCTGTTTTGATATTACCTGACTTCCTTAAAACATTTGAGATTGAGTGTGATGCTTCAGGTGTAGGTATTGGAGCTGTGCTAATGCAAGATCAAAAGCCCATTGCCTTTTTCAGTGAGAAACTTGGAGGAGCTACGCTGAATTACCCGACATATGACAAGGAGCTGTACGCCTTGGTCCGAGCTCTCCAAACGTGGCAACATTACTTATGGCCTAAGGAATTCGTCATTCATACTGATCATGAGTCTCTTAAGCACTTGAAAAGCCAACAGAAACTTAACAAGAGGCATGATAGGTGGGTTGAGTTTATTGAGACACTTCCCTATGTCATCAAGTACAAAAAAGGTAAGGATAATGTAGTTGCCGATGCATTATCCCGGAGGTACACCCTACCCTCTACTCTTAATGTTAAGCTTATGGGATTTGAGCAAATAAAAGAACTCTATGCAACTGACCATGATTTTCAAGAAATCTATAAATCTTGTGAAAAGTTTGCTTCTGGTCATTATTTTAGACAAGACGGGTTTCTCTTCTATGAGAACCGTTTGTGTGTTCCTAATTGCTCTCTACGAGATCTATTTGTCAGGGAAGCTCATGGAGGAGGACTAATGGGACACTTTGGCATTGCTAAGACTATGGAAGTCATGAAAGAACCTTTTCATTGGCCACACATGAAACGTGATGTTGAAAGAATTTGTGGAAGATGTACTACTTGTAAGCAAGCTAAATCAAAGGTTCAACCCAACGGTTTGTATACTCCTTTACCTATTCCTACTCACCCGTGGACTGATATTTCAATGGATTTTGTGATGGGATTGCCTAGGACTAGAACTGGAAAGGATTCTATCTTTGTTGTGGTTGATAGATTTTCTAAGATGGCTCATTTCATTGCTTGTCATAAAACTGATGATGCATTGCATGTAGCTAATCTGTTCTTTAAAGAGATATTTTGTTTGCATGGGATGCCTAGATCCATAGTTTCGGATAGAGATACTAAGTTCCTTAGTTACTTTTGGAAAACATTGTGGTCTAAGTTAGGAACTAAACTGTTATTCTCTACTACATGTCATCCGCAAACTGATGGTCAAACTGAAGTGGTTAATAGAATTTTAGGTACTCTCTTGCGTGCATTAATCAAAAATAACCTTAAAACTTGGGAAAAATGCTTGCCTCATGTTGAATTTGCATATAATCATGATGTGCATTCTGCTTCTAAGTATTCTCCTTTTCAAATTGTTTATGGGTTCAACCCCATCTCACCTTTGGATCTAATCCCTTTGCCTTTGAGTGAAAGAATTAGTCTTGATGGTAAAAAGAAGGCTGAGCTAGTGCAACAGATCCATGAAAATGCAAGGAGGAACATAGAAGAAAATACCAAACTCTATGCTAAGCAAGCTAATAAAGGGAAACGTGAGCAGATTTTTGAAGTTGGAGATAAAGTCTGGATTCACTTAAGAAAAGAGCGGTTTCCTACTCAAAGGAAGTCCAAACTCATGCCAAGAATTGATGGTCCATTCAAGATAGTCAAACGGATCAGCGACAATGCCTATCAACTCGACTTGCAAGGTAAGTATAATGTGAGTTCTAGTTTTAATGTTTCTGACTTGGTGCCCTATATTGCAGATCAAACGGATTTGAGGTCAAATCCTTTTCAAGAGGGAGGGGATGATATGATCATGGACAGCACTAAGGATGTGGAGCATGAACCGGAGCTTGAACGTGAGCTTGTAGCGGAGGAAGGAGCTAAAGGAGCTAAGCTTGTAGCTGAGGATGAGCTTGTAGCCGAGGAGGAGCTTGTACCCGAGGAAGCTTTGATCGCACCAACTGGACCAAAGACTCGTTCTAGAGTTAAGCTATTCAACCAAGCCATTGGAGGGATGCTTAACCACATTTGGGACCGACCAAATGACTTGAGCCAAGTCACTACCTCTTTGGTTGTGATCCATGCTCAAGGACAGAATCAAGATGGATAAGTGATTCAGATACAAACACCTTCACTTCATATAATCCATTTTGATGATTCAAGACCCAAGCCCACTAAATAATGAGACAATTTCGTGGTCTTAGTAGTTGAAGTGTTATTTTTCAAATTCAAACTCTATTTTAATTTCTCTTGTGTTTTCTAGGCAGCCTTGGAGCTTGTTCCAAGACTTGTCTCTTTACATTCTCTTCTCTCCTATATATCCTCTTGTAATCTCTTATGAGAACTCATATTTCTTTTTATCAAAAACCTTTTCTAAGAAGATCATCTTGTTGGTGTGTATATCCAGTAAAACCCTTAGTCTCTTTTGGTGCGTATATCCAAAGGATCTAAGTCTCGGTATCGTGAAGCTCTTCCGCAAGCTTCTGTGATATCCATCGATCCATTCTCTCGTTTTTGAGTCGTGTGTCGTCTCTAACTCGAGATCATCTATCCATCACCACGGCTTCACAACCACCTTTATCCCTTGCTCAACTCAAGAGTGCCGAGTCCTCGGGAGGATCGTGTCAGTCTCGCTTCCGTACCGAAATCCATTAATCTCACAAACCTCGGCAATGGTGAGGCTAAAGGCATATCCATTACAAACAAACTTCAAAACCCCTTCATCCGGCTTGGGAATCCTCGGTTTCTTGTATATAAGCTCTACCGACGCAAAAAAACTCTCTCACAAGCTCAGGATAGAGAAAGTCCATGGTTTCTGAGAATTTGGTGAGTCCCATTTCCTTAATGATTTTTGCACATCTTCTTTGAGTCCTGTCTTCTTAAGAAGCTGTGGCGTGCTAAAGCGGGTGGGGTGAATGTTGATAGTTTCGAAGCACTCAAAATCCGCCACTTGCCTGGCCGTGAATTGAACCGGTATTTTCTTGGGATCCTCTCGAGAAGTTTGAGCCGGTGCCTCTTGAGAAGTTTCAGCCGGTGCTTCATCTTGGAGATGCAATCTCTTTTTTGATGGTTTTTGAACGGATTTGGTAGGTCGAACCCGCTTTCTCAGTCCCTTTGAAGCTTCTTCCCCAACCTTCTTTGTTTTATCTTTGGTAGATGGGGGCTTGGAAGTTGATTTCCATCATAGCTCGACCGTCTCTCACCAACATCCAGTTGCTCACCATGAGCTTCTTGATCTCTATCTATTGCTCGTCCTTCTTCTTGTGCGATGAACTCGTCTTCATCCGAGACATAACTAGAAATCTTCCTTAACTTTGACTTTATCCAATTAAACTTGTTCTTGGCCATCTTGTTCATCGTCTTTTGGATCTTGTAAGCATTGTAGAAGATCTTCTCCCGTTCCAACTTTGGCTCGGAAGGTAATTCCGGGAGTTCCCAAAGATCACTTACGGCTTGTGGCTCATCGGTTTCAGGTTCCTCGGTTTTGCCTCTTTTGTTCTTTGGAACCAAAACAGTAAGATCTTCTCCCTTGTGCTTAAAACAAATGTTGGCGAGTGATGTGACCGATGTCAAGTCGGTGTTGGGGAGTGGGAAGGAGCGTTTTTCGTGTTTTGCGATTGGTGTACACATAGCAATGTTCCCTCGTATCCGTTGTGTCCTCGAGAAATTCGGCCAGTACAAAATATTCGCGGTTTAGCTTCCCTTGCTCTGGTTCTTGGTAGCAACAGACGAGGTCGATTTTGATCTTACGGAAGATCGATGTTAGCATACTTCCCATGAAGCAATCAGGTTCACTAGTGGTTCTTCCCCATGCTCGGATCTTAGTTAACTCCTTAGCAAAAACACACCCCAAGTTGACGTCTTTGACCTCAACATCACTGAACATCGCAAAATGTTCGTCCACCATATATCTTCTCACGCCCATGAAGAGTAACCACAATTCGTCTTGCCTAAACCCTCCAAATTGCTTCCTTGCGAAGAAGGTGTTGCCGAGTAACCTGTGGATGTAGCGAATTGCAGGATTCGGAATGAGAGAAGATGTGGGATTCTTTTTAGCATTGAGATTTCTATTAGCATTCTCCTTAGCTATCGTATTCCAAAAGGAATCCGCGCTAGCGAAGTCTCCGAACTTGGTCTCGCTTCCGTACCGAAATCCATAAATCTCACAAACCTCGGCAATGGTGAGGCTAAAGGCATATCCATTACAAACAAACTTCAAAACCCCTTCATCCGGCTTGGGAATCCTCGGTGTCTTGTATATGAGCTCCACCGACGCAAAGAACTCTCTCACAAGCTCAATAGAGAAAGTCCATGGTTTCTGAGAATTTGGTGAGTCCCATTTCCTCAATGATCTTTCGCACATCTTCTTTGAGTCCTGTCTTCTCAAGAAAATGTGGCGTGCTAAAGCGGGTGGGGTGAATGTTAATAGTTTCGAAGCAACGCAAAATCCGCCTCTTGACTGGCCATGAATTGAACCGGTATTTTCTTGGGGTCCTCTCGAGAAGTTTGAGCCGTTGCCTCTTGAGAAGTTTCAGCCGGTGATTCATCTTGGAGATGCAATCTCTTTTTTAATGGTTTTTGAACGGATTTGGTAGGTCGAACCCGCTTTCTCAGTCCCTTTAAAGCTTCGTCCCCAACTTTCTTTGTTTTATCTTAGGTAGATGGGGGCTTGGAAGTGGATTTCCATCATAGCTCGACCGTCTCTCACCAACATCCAGTTGCTCACCATGAGCTTCTTGATATCTATCTATTGCTCGTCGTTCTTCTTGTGCGATGAACTCGTCTTCATCCGAGACATAACCAGGAATCTTCCTTAACTTTGACTTTATCCAATTAAACTTGTTCTCGGCCATCTTGTTCATCGTATTTTGGATCTTGTAAGCATTGTAGAAGATCTTCTCCTGTTCCGTCTTCGGCTCGAAAGATAATTCCAGGAGTTCCCACGGATCACTTACGGCTTGTGGCTCATCGGTTTCAGGTTCCTCGGTTTTGCCTCTTTTTCCCTATGGAACGAAAACAGTAAGATCTTCCCCCTTGTGCTCAAAACAAATGTTGGCGAGTGATGTGATCGATGTCAAGTCGGTGTTGGAGAGTGGGAAGGAGCGTTTTTCGTGTTTGCGATTGGTGTACACATACCGATGTTCCCTCGCATCCGTTGTGTCCTCGAGAAATTTGGCCAGTACAAAATCTTCGTGGTTGAGCTTCCTTTGCTCTGGTTCTTGGTAGCAACTGACGAGGTCGATTTTGATCTTACGGTAGATCGGTGTTAGCATACTTCCCATGAAGCAATCGGGTTCACTAGTGGTTCTTCCCCATGCTCGGATCCTAGTTAACTCCTTAGCAAAAACACACCCCAAGTTGACGTCTTTGACCTCAAAATCACTGAACAACGCACAATGTTCGTCCACCAAATATCTTCTCACGCCCATGAAGAGTAACCACAATTCGTCTTGCCTAACCCCTGCAAACTGCTTCTTTGCGAAGAAGGTGTTGCCGAGTAACCTGTGGATGTAGCGGATTGCAGGATTCCGAATGAGAGAAAATTTGGGATTCTTTTTAGCATTGAGATTTCCATTAGCATTCTCCTTAGCTATCGTATTCTAAAAGGAATCCGCGCTAGCGAAGTCTCCGAACTTGGTCTCGCTTCCGTACCGAAATCCATAAATCTCACAAACCTCGGCAATGGTGAGGCTAAAGGCAAATCCATTACAAACAAACTTCAAAACCCCTTCATCCGGCTTGGGAATCCTCGGTTTCTTGTATATAAGCTCCACCGACGCAAAGAACTCTCTCACAAGCTCAGGATAGAGAGAGTCCATGGTTTCTGAGAATTTGGTGAGTCCCATTTCCTCAATGATCTTTCGCACATCTTCTTTGAGTCCTGTCTTCTCAAGAAACTGTGGCGTGCTAAAGCGGGTGGGGTGAATGTTGAAAGTTTCGAAGCAACGCAAAATCCGCCTCTTGACTGGCCGTGAATTGAACCGGTATTTTCTTGGGGTCCTCTCGAGAAGTTTGAGCCGGTGCCTCTTGAGAAGTTTCAGCCGGTGATTCATCTTGGAGATGCAATCTCTTTTTTAATGGTTTTTGAACGGATTTGGTAGGTCGAACCCGCTTTCTCAGTCCCTTTGAAGCCTCTTCCCCAACTTTCTTTGTTTTATCTTAGGTAGATGGGGGCTTGGAAGTGGATTTCCATCATAGCTCGACTGTCGCTCACCAACATCCAGTTGCTCACCATGAGCATCTTGATCTCTATCTATTGCTCGTCTTTCTTCTTGTGCGATGAACTCGTTTTCATTCGAGACATAACTAGATATCTTCCTTAACTTTGACTTTATCCATTTAAACTTGTTCTCGGCCATCTTTTTCATCGTCTTTTGGATCTTGTAAGCATTGTAGAAGATCTTCTCCCGTTCCATCTTTGGCTCGAAAGGTAATTCCGGGAGTTCCCAAAGATCACTTACGGCTTGTGGCTCATCGGTTTCAGGTTCCTCGGTTTTGCCTCTTTTTCCCTTTGGAACGAAAACAGTAAGATCTTCCCCCTTGTGCTCAAAACAAATGTTGGCGAGTGATGTGATCGATGTCAAGTCGGTGTTGGGGAGTGGGAAGGAGCGTTTTTCGTGTTTGCGATTGGTGTACACATACCGATGTTCCCTCGCATCCGTTGTGTCCTCGAGAAATTCGGCCAATACAAAATCTTCGCGGTTGAGCGTCCTTTGCTCTAGTTCTTGGTAGCAACTGACGAGGTCGATTTTGATCTTACGGTAGATCGGTGTTAGCATACTCCCCATGAAGCAATCGGGTTCACTAGTGGTTCTTCCCCATGCTCGGATCCTAGTTAACTCCTTAGCAAAAACACACCCCAAGTTGACGTCTTTGACCTCAAAATCACTGAACAACGCACAATGTTCGTCCACCAAATATCTTCTCACGCCCATGAAGAGTAACCACAATTCGTCTTGCCTAACTCCTCCAAACTGCTTCTTTGCGAAGAAAGTGTTGCCGAGTAACCTGTGGATGTAGCGGATTGCAGGATTCCGAATGAGAGAAAATTTGGGATTCTTTTTAGCATTGAGATTTCCATTAGCATTCTCCTTAGCTATCATATTCTAAAAGGAATCCGCGCTAGCGAAGTCTCCGAACTTGGTCTCGCTTCCGTACCGAAATCCATAAATCTCACAAACCTCGGCAATGGTGAGGCTAAAGGCAAATCCATTACAAACAAACTTCAAAACCCCTTCATCCGGCTTGGAAATCCTCGGTTTCTTGTATATAAGCTCCACCGACGCAAAGAACTCTCTCACAAGCTCAGGATAGAGAGAGTCCATGGTGTCCGAGAATTTGGTGAGTCCCATTTCCTCAATGATCTTTCGCACATCTTCTTTGCTGTCTTCTCAAGAAACTGTGGCGTGCTAAAGAGGGTGGGATGAATGTTGATATTTTCGAAGCAACGCAAAATCCGCCTCTTGACTGGCCGTGAATTGTCCCTTGTGCTCAGAACAAATATTGGCGAGTGATGTGGCCGATGTCAAGTCGGTCTTGGGGAGTGGGAAGGAGCGTTTTTCGTGTTTTGCGATTGGTGTACACATAGCGATGTTCCCTCGCATCCGTTGTGTCCTCGAGAAATTCGGCCAATACAAAATATTCGCGGTTGAGCTTCCCTTGCTCTGGTTCTTGGTAGCAACTGACGAGGTCGATTTTGATCTTACGGAAGATCGATGTTAGCATACTTCCCATGAAGCAATCGGGTTCACTAGTGGTTCTTCCCCATGCTCGGATCTTAGTTAACTCCTTAGCAAAAACACACCCCAAGTTGACGTCTTTGACCTCAACATCACTGAACATCGCACAATGTTCGTCCACCATATATCTTCTCACGCCCATGAAGAGTAACCACAATTCGTCTTGCCTAACAGCTCCAAATTACTTCCTTGCGAAGAAGGTGTTGCCGAGTAACCTGTGGATGTAGCGGACTGCAGGATTCCGAATGAGAGAAGATTTGGGATTCTTTTTAGCATTGAGATTTCCATTAGCATTCTACTTATCTATCGTATTCCAAAAAGAATCCGCGCTAGCGAAGTCTCCGAACTTGGTCTCGCTTCCGTACCGAAACCCATAAATCTCACAAACCTCGGCAATGGTGAGGCTAAAGGCATATCCATTACAAACAAACTTCAAAACCCCTTCATTCGGCTTGGGAATCCTCGGTTTCTTGTATATAAGCTCCACCGACGCAAACAACTCTCTCACAAGCTCAGGATAGAGAAAGTCCATGGTTTCTGAGAATTTGGTGAGTCTCATTTCCTCAATGATCTTTTGCACATCTTCTTTAAGTCATGTCTTCTCAAGAAAATGTGACGTGCTAAACCGGGTGGGGTGAATGTTAATAGTTTTGAAGCAACGCAAAATCCGCCTCTTGACTGGCCGTGAATTGAACCGGTATTTTCTTGGGGTCCTCTCGAGAAGTTTGAGCCGGTGCCTCTTGAGAAGTTTCAGCCGGTGATTCATCTTGGAGATGCAATCTCTTTTTTAATGGTTTTTGTACGGATTTGGTAGGTCGAACCCGCTTTCTCAGTCCCTTTGAAGCTTCTTCCTCAACTTTCTTTGTTTTATCTTTGGTAGATGGGGCCTTGGAAGTGGATTTCCATCATAGCTCGACCATCTCTCACCAACATCCAGTTGCTCACCATGAGCTTCTTGATCTCTATCTATTGCTCGTCGTTCTTCTTGTGCGATGAACTCGTCTTCATCCGAGACATAACCAGGAATCTTCCTTAACTTTGACTTTATCCAATTAAACTTGTTCTTGCCCATCTTTTTCATCGTCTTTTGGATCTTGTAAGCATTGTAGAAGATCTTCTCCCATTCCATCTTTGGCTCGAAAGGTAATTCCGGGAGTTCCCAAAGATCACTTACGGCTTGTGGCTCATCGGTTTCAGGGTCCTCGGTTTTGCCTCTTTTGCTCTTTGGAACCAAAACAGTAAGATCTTCTCCCTTGTGCTTAAAACAAATGTTGGCGAGTGATGTGACCGATGTCAAGTCGGTGTTGGGGAGTGGGAAGGAGCGTTTTTCGTGTTTTGCGATTGGTGTACACATAGCGATGTTCCCTCGCATCCGTTATGTCCTCGAGAAATTCGGCCAGTACAAAATATTCGCGGTTGAGCTTCCCTTGCTCTGGTTCTTGGTAGCAACTGACGAGGTCGATTTTGATCTTACGGAAGATCGGTGTTAGCATACTTCCCATGAAGCAATCAGGTTCACTAGTGGTTCTTCCCCATGCTCGGATCTTAGTTAACTCCTTAGCAAAAACACACCCCAAGTTGACGTCTTTGACCTCAACATCACTGAACATCGCACAATGTTCGTCCACCATATATCTTCTCACGCCCATGAAGAGTAACCAAAATTCGTCTTGCCTAACCCCTCCAAATTGCTTACTTGCGAAGAAGGTGTTGCCGAGTAACCTGTGGATGTAGCGGATTGCAGGATTCCGAATGAGAGAAAATTTGGGATTCTTTTTAGCATTGAGATTTCCATTAGCATTCTCTTTAGCTATCGTATTCCAAAAGGAATCTGCGCTAGCGAAGTCTCCGAACTTGGTCTCGCTTTCGTACTGAAATCCATAAATCTCACAAACCTCGGCAATGGTGAGGCTAAAGGCATATCCATTACAAACAAACTTCAAAACCCTTTTATCCGGCTTGGGAATCCTCAGTTTCTTGTATATAAGCTCCACCGACGCAAAAAACTCTCTCACAAGCTCAGGATAGAGAAAGTCCATGGTTTCTGAGAATTTGGTGAGTCCCATTTCCTCAATGATCTTTTGCACATCTTCTTTGAGTCCTGTCTTCTCAAGAAATTGTGGCGTACTAAAGCGGGTGGGGTGAATGTTGATAGTTTCGAAGCAACGCAAAATCCGCCTATTGACTGGCCGTGAATTGAACCGGTATTTTCGTGGGGTCTTCTCGAGAAGTTTGAGCCGGTGCCTCTTGAGAAGTTTCAGCCGGTGATTCATCTTGGAGATGCAATCTCTTTTTTGATGGTTTTTGAACGGATTTGGTAGGTCGAACCCGATTTCTTAGTCCCTTTGAAGCTTCTTCCCCAACTTTCTTTGTTTTATCTTATGTAGATGGGGGCTTGGAAGTGGATTTCCATTATAGCTCGACTGTCTCTCACCAACATCCAGTTGCTCACCATGAGCATCTTGATCTCTATCTATTGCTCGTCCTTCTTCTTGTGCGATGAACTCGTTTTCATCCGAGACATAACTAGATATCTTCCTTAACTTTGACTTTATCCAATTAAACTTGTTCTTGGCCATCTTTTACATCGTCTTTTGGATCTTATAAGCATTGTAGAAGATCTTCTCCCGTTCCATCTTTGGCTCGAAAGGTAATTCCGGGAGTTCCCAAAGATCACTTACGGCTTGTGGCTCATCGGTTTCAGGTTCCTTGGTTTTGCCTCTTTTGCTCTTTGTAACCAAAACAGTAAGATCTTCTCCCTTGTGCTTAAAACAAATGTTGGCGAGTGATGTGACCGATGTCAAGTCGGTGTTGGGGAGTGGGAAGGAGCGTTTTTCGTGTTTTGCGATTAGTGTACTAATAGCGATGTTCCCTCGCATCCGTTGTGTCCTCGAGAAATTCGGCCAGTACTAATAGCGATGTTCCCTCGCATCCCTTGCTCTGGTTCTTGGTAGCAACTAACGAGGTCGATTTTGATCTTACGGAAGATCGATGTTAGCATACTTCCCATGAAGCAATCGGGTTCACTAGTGGTTCTTCCCCATGCTCGGATCTTAGTTAACTCCTTAGCAAAAACACACGCCAAGTTGATGTCTTTGACCTCAACATCACTGAAAATCGCACAATGTTCGTCCACCATATATCTTCTCACGCCCATGAAGAGTAAACATAATTCGTCTTGCCTAAGCCCTCCAAATTGCTTCTTTGCGAAGAAGGTGTTGCTGAGTAACCTGTGGATGTAGCGGATTGCGGAATTCCGAATGAGAGAAAATTTGGGATTCTTTTTAGCATTGAGATTTCCATTAGCATTCTCCTTAGCTATCGTATTCCAAAAGGAATCCGCGCTAGCGAAGTCTCCGAACTTGGTCTCGCTTCCGTACCGAAATCTATAAATCTCACAAACCTCAGCATTGGTGTGGCTAAAGGCATATCCATTACAAACAAACTTCAAAACCCCTTCATCCGGCTTGGGAATCCTCGGTTTCTTGTATATAAGCTCCACCGACGCAAAGAACTCTCTCACAAGCTCAGGATAGAGAGAGTCCAAGGTTTCTGAGAATTTGGTGAGTCCCATTTCCTCAATGATCTTTCTCACATCTTCTTTGATGTCTTCTCAAGAAATTGTGGCGTGCTAAAGCGGGTGGGGTGAATGTTGATTGTTTCGAAGCACGGAAAATCAGCCTCTTGACTGGCCGTGAATTGAACCTGTATTTTCTTGGGGTCCTCTCGAGAAGTTTGAGCCGGTGCCTCTTGAGAAGTTTCAGCTGGTGCTTCATCTTGGAGATGCAATCTCTTTTTTGATGGTTTTTGAACGGATTTGGTAGGTCAAACCTGCTTTCTCAGTCCCTTTGAAGCTTCTTCCCCGACTTTCTTTGTTTTATCTTTGGTAGATGGGGGCTTGGAAGTGGATTTCCATCATAGCTCGACCGTCTCTCACCAACATCCAATTTCTCACCATGAGCTTCTTGTTCTCTACCTATTGCTCGTCCTTCTTCTTGTGCGATGAACTCGTCTTCATCCGAGACATAACAAGGAATCTTCCTTAATTTTGACTTTATCCAATTAAACTTGTTCTTGGCCATCTTGTTCATCGTCTTTTGGATCTTGTAAGCATTGTAGAAGATCTTCTCCTGTTCCGTCTTTGGGTCGAAAGGTAATTCCAGGAGTTCCCAAGGATCACTTACAGCTTGTGGCTCATCGGTTTCAGGTTCCTCGGTTTTGCCTCTTTTGCCCGTTGAAACCAAAACAGTAAGATCTTCTCCCTTGTGCTCAAAACAAATGTTAACGAGTGATGTGATCGATGTCAAGTCGGTGTTAGGGAGTGGGAAAGAGCGTTTTTCGTGTTTTGCGATTGGTGTACACATAGCGATGTTCCCTCGCATCCGTTGTATCCTCGAGAAATTCGGCCAGTACAAAATATTCGCGGTTGAGTTTCCCTTGCTCTGGTTCTTGGTAGCAACTGACGAGGTCGATTTTGATCTTACGGAAGATCGGTGTTAGCATACTTCCCATGAAGCAATCGGGTTCCCTAGTGGTTCTTCCCCATGCTCGAATCTTAGTTAACTCCTTAGCAAAAACACACCCCAAGTTGACGTCTTTGACCTCAACATCACTGAACATCGCACAATGTTCGTCCACCATATATCTTCTCACGCCCATGAAGAGTAACCACAATTCGTCTTGCCTAACAGCTCCAAATTGCTTCCTTGCGAAGAAGGTGTTGCCGAGTAACCTATGGATGTAGCGGACTGCAGGATTCCGAATGAGAGAAGATTTGGGATTCTTTTTAGCATTGAGATTTCCATTAGCATTCTCCTTATCTATCGTATTCCAAAAAGAATCCGCGCTAGCGAAGTCTCCGAACTTGGTCTCGCTTCCGTACCGAAATCCATAAATCTCACAAACCTCGGCAATGGTGAGGCTAAAGGCATATCCATTACAAACAAACTTCAAAACCCCTTCATCCGGCTTGGGAATCCTCGGTTTCTTGTATATAAGCTCCACCGACGCAAAAAACTCTCTCACAAGCTCAGGAGAGAGAAAGTCCATGGTTTCTGAGAATTTGGTGAGTCCCATTTCCTCAATGATTTTCGCGCATCTTCTTTGCTGTCTTCTCAAGAAACTGTGGCGTGCTAAAGCGGGTGGGGTGAATGTTGATAGTTTCGAAGCACGCAAAATCCGCCTCTTGCCTGGCCGTGAATTGAACCGGTATTTTCTTGGGATCCTCTCGAGAAGTTTGAGCCGGTGCCTCTTGAGAAGTTTCAGCCGGTGCTTCATCTTGGAGATGCAATCTCTTTTTTGATGGTTTTTGAACGGATTTGGTAGGTCGAACCCGCTTTCTCAGTCCCTTTGAAGCTTCTTCCCCAACCTTCTTTGTTTTATCTTTGGTAGATGGGGGCTTGGAAGTTGATTTCCATCATAGCTCGACCGTCTCTCACCAACATCCAGTTGCTCACCATGAGCTTCTTGATCTCTATCTATTGCTCGTCCTTCTTCTTGTGCGATGAACTCGTCTTCATCCGAGACATAACAAGGAATATTCCTTAATTTTGACTTTATCCAATTAAACTTGTTCTTGGCCATCTTGTTCATCGTCTTTTGGATCTTGAAAGCATTGTAGAAGATCTTCTCCTGTTCCGTCTTTGGGTCGAAAGGTAATTCCAGGAGTTCCCAAGGATCACTTACAGCTTGTGGCTCATCGGTTTCAGGTTCCTCGGTTTTGCCTCTTTTGCCCGTTGGAACCAAAACAGTAAGATCTTCTCCCTTGTGCTCAAAACAAATGTTAACGAGTGATGTGATCGATGTCAAGTCGGTGTTAGGGAGTGGGAAAGAGCGTTTTTCGTGTTTTGCGATTGGTGTACACATAGCGATGTTCCCTCGCATCCGTTGTATCCTCGAGAAATTCAGCAGTACAAAATATTCGCGGTTGAGCTTCCCTTGCTCTGGTTCTTGGTAGCAACTGACGAGGTCAATTTTGATCTTACGGAAATCGGTGTTAGCATACTTCCCATGAAGCAATCGGGTTCCCTAGTGGTTCTTCCCCATGCTCGAATCTTAGTTAACTCCTTAGCAAAAACACACCCCAAGTTGACGTCTTTGACCTCAACATCACTGAACATCGCACAATGTTCGTCCACCATATATCTTCTCACGCCCATGAAGAGTAACCACAATTCGTCTTGCCTAACAGCTCCAAATTGCTTCCTTGCGAAGAAGGTGTTGCCGAGTAACCTATGGATGTAGCGGACTGCAGGATTCCGAATGAGAGAAGATTTGGGATTCGTTTTAGCATTGAGATTTCCATTAGCATTCTCCTTATCTATCGTATTCCAAAAAGAATCCGCGCTAGCGAAGTCTCCGAACTTGGTCTCGCTTCCGTACCGAAATCCATAAATCTCACAAACCTCGGCAATGGTGAGGCTAAAGGCATATCCATTACAAACAAACTTCAAAACCCCTTCATCCGGCTTGGGAATCCTCGGTTTCTTGTATATAAGCTCCACCGACGCAAAAAACTCTCTCACAAGCTCAGGAGAGAGAAAGTCCATGGTTTCTGAGAATTTGGTGAGTCCCATTTCCTCAATGATTTTCGCGCATCTTCTTTGCTGTCTTCTCAAGAAACTGTGGCGTGCTAAAGCGGGTGGGGTGAATGTTGATTGTTTCGAAGCACGCAAAATCCGCGTCTTGACTGGCTGTGAATTGAACCGGTATTTTCTTGGGGTCCTCTCGGGAAGTTTTAGCCGGTGCCTCTTGAGAAGTTTCAGTCGGTGCTTCATCTTGGAGATGCAATCTCTTTTTTGATGGTTTTTGAACGGATTTGGTAGGTCGAACCCGCTTTCTCAGTCCCTTTGAAGCTTCTTCCCCAACTTTCTTTGTTTTATCTTTGGTAGATGGGGGCTTGGAAGTGGATTTCCATCATAGCTCGACCGTCTCTCACCAACATCCAGTTGCTCACCTTGAGCTTCTTGATATCTATCTATTGCTCGTCCTTCTTCTTGTGCGATGAACTCGTTTTCATCCGAGACATAACTAGATATCTTCCTTAACTTTGACTTTATCCAATTAAACTTGGTCTTGGCCATCTTTTTCATCGTCTTTTGGATCTTGTAAGCATTGTAGAAGATCTTCTCCCGTTCCATCTTTGGATCGAAAGGTAATTCTGGGAGATCCCAAAGATCACTTACGGCTTGTGGCTCATCGGTTTCAGGTTCCTTGGTTTTGCCTCATTTGCTCTTTGTAACCAAAACAGTAAGATCTTCTCCCTTGTGCTTAAAACAAATGTTGGCGAGTGATGTGACCGATGTCAAGTCGGTGTTGGGGAGTGGGAAGGAGCGTTTTTCGTGTTTTGCGATTGGTGTACACATAGCGATGTTCCCTCGCATCCGTTGTGTCCTCGAGAAATTCGGCCAGTACAAAATATTCGCGGTTGAGCTTCCCTTGCTTTGGTTGTTGGTAGCAACTGACGAGGTCAATGTTGATCTTACGGAAAATCGGTGTTAGCATACTTCCCATGAAGCAATCGGGTTCACTAATGCTTCTTCCCCATGCTCGGATCTTAGTTAACTCCTTATCAAAAACACACCCCAAGTTGACGTCTTTGACCTCAACATCACTAAACATCGCACAATGTTCGTCCACCATATATCTTCTCACGCCCATGAAGAGTAACCACAATTCGTCTTGCCTAACCCCTCCAAATTGCTTCCTTGCAAAGAAGGTGTTGCCGAGTAACTTGTGGATGTAGCGGATTGCAGGATTCCGAATGAGAGAAGATTTGGGATTCTTTTTGGCATTGAGATTTCCATTAGCATTCTCCTTAGCTATCGTATTCCAAAAGGAATCCGCGCTAGCGAAGTCTCCGAACTTGGTCTAGCTTCCGTACCGAAACCCATAAATCTCACAAACCTCGGCAATGATGAGGCTAAAGGCATATCCATTACAAACAAACTTCAAAACCCCTTCATCCGGCTTGGGAATCCTCGGTTTCTTGTATATAAGCTCCACCGACGCAAAGAACTCTCTCACAAGCTCAGGATAGAGAGAGTCCAAGGTTTCTGAGAATTTGGTGAGTCCCATTTCCTCAATGATCTTTCGCATATCTTCTTTGTTGTCTTCTCAAGAAACTGTGGCGTGCTAAAGCGGGTGGGGTGAATGTTGATTGTTTCGAAGCACGCAAAATCCGCTTCTTGACTGGCCGTGAATTGAACCGGTATTTTCTTGGGGTCCTCTTGAGAAGTTTGAGCCGGTGGCTCTTGAGAAGTTTCAGCCGGTGCTTCATCTTGGAGATGCAATCTCTTTTTTGATGGTTTTTGAACGGATTTGGTAGATCGAACCCGCTTTCTCTGTCCCTTTGAAGCTTCTTCCCCTACTTTCTTTGTTTTATCTTTGGTAGATGGGGGCTTGGAAGTGGATTTCCATCATAGCTCGACCGTCTCTTACCAACATCCAATTGCTCACCATGAGCTTCTTGTTCTCTACCTATTGCTCGTCCTTCTTCTTGTGCGATGAACTCGTCTTCATCCGAGACATAACCAGGAATCTTCCTTAATTTTGACTTTATCCAATTAAACTTGTTCTTGGCCATCTTGTTCATCGTCTTTTGGATCTTGTAAGCATTGTAGAAGATCTTCTCCTGTTCCGTCTTTGGGTCGAAAGGTAATTCAAGGAGTTCCCAAGGATCACTTACAGCTTGTGGCTCATCGGTTTCAGGTTCCTCGGTTTTGCCTCTTTTGCCCGTTGGAACCAAAACAGTAAGATCTTCTCCCTTGTGCTCAAAACAAATGTTAACGAGTGATGTGATCGATGTCAAGTCGGTGTTGGGGAGTGGGAAAGAGCGTTTTTCGGGTTTTGCGATTGGTGTACACATAGCGATGTTCCCTCGCATCCGTTGTATCCTCGAGAAATTCAGCAGTACAAAATATTCGCGGTTGAGCTTCCCTTGCTCTGGTTCTTGGTAGCAACTGACGAGGTCGATTTTGATCTTACGTAAGATCGGTGTTAGCATACTTCCCATGAAGCAATCGGGTTCCCTAGTGGTTCTTCCCCATGCTCGAATCTTAGTTAACTCCTTAGCAAAAACACACCCCAAGTTGACGTCTTTGACCTCAACATCACTGAACATCGCACAATGTTCGTCCACCATATATCTTCTCACGCCCATGAAGAGTAACCACAATTCGTCTTGCCTAACAGCTCCAAATTGCTTCCTTGCGAAGAAGGTGTTGCCGAGTAACCTTTGGATGTAGCGGACTGCAGGATTCCGAATGAGAGAAGTTTTGGGATTCTTTTTAGCATTGAGATTTCCATTAGCATTCTCCTTATCTATCGTATTCCAAAAGAATCCGCGCTAGCGAAGTCTCCGAACATGGTCTCGCTTCCGTACCGAAATCCATAAATCTCACAAACCTCGGCAATGGTGAGGCTAAAGGCATATCCATTACAAACAAACTCCAAAACCCCTTCATCCGGCTTGGGAATCCTCGGTTTCTTGTATATAAGCTCCACCGACGCAAAAAACTCTCTCACAAGCTCAGGACAGAGAAAGTCCATGGTTTCTGAGAATTTGGTGAGTCCCATTTCCTCAATGATTTTCGCGCATCTTCTTTGTTGTCTTCTCAAGAAACTGTGGCGTGCTAAAGCGGGTGGGGTGAATGGTTATTGTTTCGAAGCACGCAAAATCCGCGTCTTAACTGGCTGTGAATTGAACCGGTATTTTCTTGGGGTCCTCTCGAGAAGTTTGAGCCGGTGCCTCTTGAGAAGTTTCAGTCGGTGCTTCATCTTGGAGATGCAATCTCTTTTTTGATGGTTTTTGAACGGATTTGGTAGGTCGAACCCGCTTTCTCAGCCCCTTTGAAGCTTTTTCCCCAACTTTCTTTGTTTTATCTTTGGTAGATGGGGGCTTGGAAGTGGATTTCCATCATAGCTCGACCGTCTCTCACCAACATCCAGTTGCTCACCTTGAGCTTCTTGATCTCTATCTATTGCTCGTCCTTCTTCTTGTGCGATGAACTCGTTTTCATCCGAGACATAGCTAGATATCTTCCTTAACTTTGACTTTATCCAATTAAACTTGTTCTTGGCCATCTTTTTCATCGTCTTTTGGATCTTGTAAGCATTGTAGAAGATCTTCTCCCGTTCCATCTTTGGCTCGAAAGGTAATTCCGGGAGTTCCCAAAGATCACTTACGGCTTGTGGCTCATCGGTTTCAGGTTCCTTGGTTTTGCCTCTTTTGCTCTTTGTAACCAAAACAGTAAGATCTTCTCCCTTGTGCTTAAAACAAATGTTGGCGAGTGATGTGACCGATGTCAAGTCGGTGTTGGGGAGTGGGATGGAGCGTTTTTCGTGTTTTGCGATTGGTGTACACATAGCGATGTTCCCTCGCATCCGTTGTGTCCTCGAGAAATTCGGCCAGTACAAAATATTCGCGGTTGAGCTTCCCTTGCTCTGGTTCTTGGTAGCAACTGACGAGGTTAATTTTGATCTTACGGAAAATCGGTATTAGCATACTTCCCATGAAGCAATCGGGTTCACTAATGCTTCTTCCCCATGCTCGGATCTTAGTTAACTCCTTATCAAAAACACACCCCAAGTTGACGTCTTTGACCTCAACATCACTAAACATCGCACAATGTTCGTCCACCATATATCTTCTCACGCCCATGAAGAGTAACCACAATTCGTCTTGCCTAACCCCTCCAAATTGCTTCCTTGCAAAGAAGGTGTTGCCGAGTAACTTGTGGATGTAGCGGATTGCAGGATTCCGAATGAGAGAAGATTTGGGATTCTTTTTGGCATTGAGATTTCCATTAGCATTCTCCTTAGCTATCGTATTCCAAAAGGAATCCGCGCTAGCGAAGTCTCCGAACTTGGTCTAGCTTCCGTACCGAAACCCATAAATCTCACAAACCTCGGCAATGATGAGGCTAAAGGCATATCCATTACAAACAAACTTCAAAACCCCTTCATCCGGCTTGGGAATCCTCGGTTTCTTGTATATAAGCTCCACCGACGCAAAGAACTCTCTCACAAGCTCAGGATAGAGAGAGTCCAAGGTTTCTGAGAATTTGGTGAGTCCCATTTCCTCAATGATCTTTCGCATATCTTCTTTGTTGTCTTCTCAAGAAACTGTGGCGTGCTAAAGCGGGTGGGGTGAATGTTGATTGTTTCGAAGCACGCAAAATCCGCTTCTTGACTGGCCGTGAATTGAACCGGTATTTTCTTGGGGTCCTCTTGAGAAGTTTGAGCCGGTGGCTCTTGAGAAGTTTCAGCCGGTGCTTCATCTTGGAGATGCAATCTCTTTTTTGATGGTTTTTGAACGGATTTGGTAGATCGAACCCGCTTTCTCTGTCCCTTTGAAGCTTCTTCCCCTACTTTCTTTGTTTTATCTTTGGTAGATGGGGGCTTGGAAGTGGATTTCCATCATAGCTCGACCGTCTCTTACCAACATCCAATTGCTCACCATGAGCTTCTTGTTCTCTACCTATTGCTCGTCCTTCTTCTTGTGCGATGAACTCGTCTTCATCCGAGACATAACCAGGAATCTTCCTTAATTTTGACTTTATCCAATTAAACTTGTTCTTGGCCATCTTGTTCATCGTCTTTTGGATCTTGTAAGCATTGTAGAAGATCTTCTCCTGTTCCGTCTTTGGGTCGAAAGGTAATTCAAGGAGTTCCCAAGGATCACTTACAGCTTGTGGCTCATCGGTTTCAGGTTCCTCGGTTTTGCCTCTTTTGCCCGTTGGAACCAAAACAGTAAGATCTTCTCCCTTGTGCTCAAAACAAATGTTAACGAGTGATGTGATCGATGTCAAGTCGGTGTTGGGGAGTGGGAAAGAGCGTTTTTCGGGTTTTGCGATTGGTGTACACATAGCGATGTTCCCTCGCATCCGTTGTATCCTCGAGAAATTCAGCAGTACAAAATATTCGCGGTTGAGCTTCCCTTGCTCTGGTTCTTGGTAGCAACTGACGAGGTCGATTTTGATCTTACGTAAGATCGGTGTTAGCATACTTCCCATGAAGCAATCGGGTTCCCTAGTGGTTCTTCCCCATGCTCGAATCTTAGTTAACTCCTTAGCAAAAACACACCCCAAGTTGACGTCTTTGACCTCAACATCACTGAACATCGCACAATGTTCGTCCACCATATATCTTCTCACGCCCATGAAGAGTAACCACAATTCGTCTTGCCTAACAGCTCCAAATTGCTTCCTTGCGAAGAAGGTGTTGCCGAGTAACCTTTGGATGTAGCGGACTGCAGGATTCCGAATGAGAGAAGTTTTGGGATTCTTTTTAGCATTGAGATTTCCATTAGCATTCTCCTTATCTATCGTATTCCAAAAAGAATCCGCGCTAGCGAAGTCTCCGAACATGGTCTCGCTTCCGTACCGAAATCCATAAATCTCACAAACCTCGGCAATGGTGAGGCTAAAGGCATATCCATTACAAACAAACTCCAAAACCCCTTCATCCGGCTTGGGAATCCTCGGTTTCTTGTATATAAGCTCCACCGACGCAAAAAACTCTCTCACAAGCTCAGGACAGAGAAAGTCCATGGTTTCTGAGAATTTGGTGAGTCCCATTTCCTCAATGATTTTCGCGCATCTTCTTTGTTGTCTTCTCAAGAAACTGTGGCGTGCTAAAGCGGGTGGGGTGAATGGTTATTGTTTCGAAGCACGCAAAATCCGCGTCTTAACTGGCTGTGAATTGAACCGGTATTTTCTTGGGGTCCTCTCGAGAAGTTTGAGCCGGTGCCTCTTGAGAAGTTTCAGTCGGTGCTTCATCTTGGAGATGCAATCTCTTTTTTGATGGTTTTTGAACGGATTTGGTAGGTCGAACCCGCTTTCTCAGCCCCTTTGAAGCTTTTTCCCCAACTTTCTTTGTTTTATCTTTGGTAGATGGGGGCTTGGAAGTGGATTTCCATCATAGCTCGACCGTCTCTCACCAACATCCAGTTGCTCACCTTGAGCTTCTTGATCTCTATCTATTGCTCGTCCTTCTTCTTGTGCGATGAACTCGTTTTCATCCGAGACATAGCTAGATATCTTCCTTAACTTTGACTTTATCCAATTAAACTTGTTCTTGGCCATCTTTTTCATCGTCTTTTGGATCTTGTAAGCATTGTAGAAGATCTTCTCCCGTTCCATCTTTGGCTCGAAAGGTAATTCCGGGAGTTCCCAAAGATCACTTACGGCTTGTGGCTCATCGGTTTCAGGTTCCTTGGTTTTGCCTCTTTTGCTCTTTGTAACCAAAACAGTAAGATCTTCTCCCTTGTGCTTAAAACAAATGTTGGCGAGTGATGTGACCGATGTCAAGTCGGTGTTGGGGAGTGGGATGGAGCGTTTTTCGTGTTTTGCGATTGGTGTACACATAGCGATGTTCCCTCGCATCCGTTGTGTCCTCGAGAAATTCGGCCAGTACAAAATATTCGCGGTTGAGCTTCCCTTGCTCTGGTTCTTGGTAGCAACTGACGAGGTTAATTTTGATCTTACGGAAAATCGGTATTAGCATACTTCCCATGAAGCAATCGGGTTCACTAATGCTTCTTCCCCATGCTCGGATCTTAGTTAACTCCTTATCAAAAACACACCCCAAGTTGACGTCTTTGACCTCAACATCACTAAACATCGCACAATGTTCGTCCACCATATATCTTCTCACGCCCATGAAGAGTAACCACAATTCGTCTTGCCTAACCCCTCCAAATTGCTTCCTTGCAAAGAAGGTGTTGCCGAGTAACTTGTGGATGTAGCGGATTGCAGGATTCCGAATGAGAGAAGATTTGGGATTCTTTTTGGCATTGAGATTTCCATTAGCATTCTCCTTAGCTATCGTATTCCAAAAGGAATCCGCGCTAGCGAAGTCTCCGAACTTGGTCTAGCTTCCGTACCGAAACCCATAAATCTCACAAACCTCGGCAATGATGAGGCTAAAGGCATATCCATTACAAACAAACTTCAAAACCCCCTTCATCCGGCTTGGGAATCCTCGGTTTCTTGTATATAAGCTCCACCGACGCAAAGAACTCTCTCACAAGCTCAGGATAGAGGGAGTCCAAGGTTTCTGAGAATTTGGTGAGTCCCATTTCCTCAATGATCTTTCGCACATCTTCTTTGCTGTCTTCTCAAGAAACTGTGGCGTGCTAAAGCGGGTGGGGTGAATGTTGATTGTTTCGAAGCACGCAAAATCCGCCTCTTGACTGGCCGTGAATTGAACCGGTATTTTCTTGGGGTCCTCTCGAGAAGTTTGAGCCGGTGCCTCTTGAGAAGTTTCAGCCGGTGCTTCATCTTGGAGATGCAATCTCTTTTTTGATGGTTTTTGAACGGATTTGGTAGGTCGAACCCGCTTTCTCAGTCCCTTTGAAGCTTCTTCCCCAACTTTCTTTGTTTTATCTTTGGTAGATGGGGGCTTGGAAGTGGATTTCCATCATAGCTCGACCGTCTCTCACCAACATCCAATTGCTCACCATGAGCTTCTTGTTCTCTACCTATTGCTCGTCCTTCTTCTTGTGCGATGAACTCGTCTTCATCCGAGACATAACCAGGAAACTTCCTTAATTTTGACTTTATCCAATTAAACTTGTTCTTGGCCATCTTGTTCATCGTCTTTTGGATCTTGTAAGCATTGTAGAAGATCTTCTCCTGTTCCGTCTTTGGGTCGAAAGGTAATTCCAGGAGTTCCCAAGGATCACTTACAGCTTGTGGCTCATCGGTTTCAGGTTCCTCGGTTTTGCCTCTTTTGCCCGTTGGAACAAAAACAGTAAGATCTTCTCCCTTGTGCTCAAAACAAATGCTGGCGAGTGATGTGATCGATGTCAAGTCGGTGTTGGGGAGTGGGAAAGAGCGTTTTTCGTGTTTTGCGATTGGTGTACACATAGCGATGTTCCCTCGCATCCGTTGTATCCTCGAGAAATTCGGCCAGTACAAAATATTCGCGGTTGAGCTTCCCTTGCTCTGGTTCTTGGTAGCAACTGACGAGGTCGATTTTGATCTTACGGAAGATCGGTGTTAGCATACTTCCCATGAAGCAATCAGGTTCCCTAGTGGTTCTTCCCATGCTCGGATCTTAGTTAACTCCTTAGCAAAAACACACCCCAAGTTGACGTCTTTGACCTCAACATCACTGAACATCGCACAATGTTCGTCCACCATATATCTTCTCACGCCCATGAAGAGTAACCACAATTCGTCTTGCCTAACAGCTCCAAATTGCTTCCTTGCGAAGAAGGTGTTGCCGAGTAACCTGTGGATGTAGCAGACTGCAGGATTCCGAATGAGAGAAGATTTGGGATTCTTTTTAGCATTGAGATTTCCATTTGCATTCTCCTTATCTATCGTATTCCAAAAAGAATCCGCGCTAGCGAAGTCTCCAAACTTGGTCTCGCTTCCGTACCGAAATCCATAAATCTCACAAACCTCGGTAATGGTGAGGCTAAAGGCATATCCATTACAAACAAACTTCAAAACCCCTTCATTCGGCTTGGGAATCCTCGGTTTCTTGTATAAAGCTCCACCGACGCAAAAAAACTCTCTCACAAGCTCAGGAGAGAGAAAGTCCATGGTTTCTGAGAATTTGGTGAGTCCCATTTCCTCAATGATTTTCGCGCATCTTCTTTGCTGTCTTCTCAAGAAACTGTGGCGTGCTAAAGAAGGTGGGGTGAATGTTGATTATTTCGAAGCACGCAAAATCCGCGTCTTGACTGGCTGTGAATTGAACCGGTATTTTCTTGGGGTCCTCTCGAGAAGTTTGAGCCGGTGCCTCTTGAGAAGTTTCAGTCGGTGCTTCATCTTGGAGATGCAATCTCTTTTTAATGGTTTTTGAACGGATTTGGTAGGTCGAACCCGCTTTCTCAGCCCCTTTGAAGCTTTTTCCCCAACTTTCTTTGTTTTATCTTTGGTAGATGGGGGCTTGGAAGTGGATTTCCATCATAGCTCGACCATCTCTCACCAACATCCAGTTGCTCACCTTGAGCTTCTTGATCTCTATCTATTGCTCTTCCTTCTTCTTGTGCGATGAACTCGTTTTCATCCGAGACATAACTAGATATCTTCCTTAACTTTGACTTTATCCAATTAAACTTGTTCTTGCCCATCTTTTTCATCGTCTTTTGGATCTTGTAAGCATTGTAGAAGATCTTCTCCCGTTCCATCTTGGCTCGAAAGGTAATTCCGGGAGTTCCCAAAGATCACTTACGGCTTGTGGCTCATCGGTTTCAGGTTCCTTGGTTTTGCCTCTTTTGCTCTTTGTAACCAAAACAGTAAGATCTTCTCCCTTGTGCTTAAAACAAATGTTGGCGAGTGATGTGACCGATGTCAAGTCGGTGTTGGGGAGTGGGAATGAGCGTTTTTCGTGTTTTGCGATTGGTGTACACATAGCGATGTTCCCTCGCATCCGTTGTGTCCTCAACAAATTCGGCCAGTACAAAATATTCGCGGTTGAGCTTCCCTTGCTCTGGTTCTTGATAGCAACTGAAGAGGTCAATTTTGATCTTACGGAAAATCGGTGTTAGCATACTTCCCATGAAGCAATCGGGTTCACTAATGCTTCTTCCCCATGCTCGGATCTTAGTTAACTCCTTATCAAAAACACACCCCAAGTTGACGTCTTTGACCTCAACATCACTAAACATCGCACAATGTTCGTCCACCATATATCTTCTCACGCCCATGAAGAGTAACCACAATTCGTCTTGCCTAACCCCTCCAAATTGCTTCCTTGCAAAGAAGGTGTTGCCGAGTAACTTGTGGATGTAGCGGATTGCAGGATTCCGAATGAGAGAAGATTTGGGATTCTTTTTGGCATTGAGATTTCCATTAGCATTCTCCTTAGCTATCATATTCTAAAAGGAATCCGCGCTAGCGAAGTCTCCGAACTTGGTCTAGCTTCTGTACCTAAACCCATAAATCTCACAAACCTCGGCAATGATGAGGCTAAAGGCATATCCATTACAAACAAACTTCAAAACCCCTTCATCCGGCTTGGGAATCCTCGGTTTCTTGTATATGAGCTCCATCAACGCAAAGAACTCTCTCACAAGCTCTGGATAGAGAAAGTCCATGGTTTCTGAGAATTTGGTGAGTCCCATTTCCTCAATGATCTTTCGCACATCTTCTTTGAGTCCTGTCTTCTCAAGAAAATGTGGCGTGCTAAAGCGGGTGGGGTGAATGTTGATAATTTCGAAGCAACGCAAAATCTGCCTCTTGACTGGCCGTGAATTGAACCGGTATTTTCTTGGGGTCCTCTCGAGAAATTTGAGCCGGTGCCTCTTGAGAAGTTTCAGCCGGTGATTCATCTTGGAGATACAATCTCTTTTTAATGGTTTTTGAACGGATTTGGTAGGTCGAACCCGCTTTCTCAGTCCCTTTGAAGCTTCTTCCTCAACTTTCTTTGTTTTATCTTTGGTAGATGGGGGCTTGGAAGTGGATTTCCATCATAGCTCGACCGTCTCTCACCAACATCCAGTTGCTCACCATGAGCTTCTTGATCTCTATCTATTGCTCGTCGTTATTCTTGTGCGATGAACTCGTTTTCATCCGAGACATAACTAGAAATCTTCCTTAACTTTGACTTTATCCAATTAAACTTGTTCTTGCCCATCTTTTTCATCGTCTTTTGGATCTTGTAAGCATTGTAGAAAATCTTCTCTCGTTCCATCTTTGGCTCGAAAGGTAATTCCGGGAGTTCCCAAAGATCACTTACGGCTTGTGGCTCATCGGTTTCAGGTTCCTCGGTTTTGCCTCTTTTGCTCTTTGGAACCAAAACAGTAAGATCTTCTCCCTTGTGCTTAAAACAAATGTTGGCGAGTGATGTGACCGATGTCAAGTCGGTGTTAGGGAGTGGGAAGGAGCGTTTTTCGTGTTTTACGATTGGTGTACACATAGCGATGTTCCATCGCATCCGTTGTGTCCTCGAGAAATTCGGCCAGTACAAAATATTCGCGGTTGAGCTTCCCTTGCTCTGGTTCTTGGTAGCAACTGACGAGGTCGATTTTGATCTTACGGAAAATCGATGTTAGCATACTTCCCATGAAGCAATCAGGTTCACTAGTGGTTCTTCCCCATGCTCGGATCTTAGTTAACTCCTTAGCAAAAACACACCCCAAGTTGACGTCTTTGACCTCAACATCACTGAACATCGCACAATGTTCGTCCACCATATATCTTCTCACGCCCATGAAGAGTAACCAAAATTCGTCTTGCCTAACCCCTCCAAATCGCTTACTTGCGAAGAAGGTCATACCGAGTAACCTGTAGATGTAGCGGATTGCAGGATTCCGAATGAGAGAAAATTTGGGATTCTTTTTAGTATTGAGATTTGCATTAGCATTCTCCTTAGCTATCGTATTCCAAAAGGAATCCGCGCTAGCGAAGTCTCCAAACTTGGTCTCGCTTCCGTACCGAAATCCATAAATCTCACAAACCTCGGCAATGGTGAGGCTAAAGGCATATCCATTACAAACAAACTTCAAAACCCCTTCATCCAGCTTGGGAATCCTCGGTTTCTTGTATATAAGCTCCACCGACGCAAAAAACTCTCTCACAAGCTCAGGATAGAGAAAGTCCATGGTTTCTGAGAATTTGGTGAGTCCCATTTCCTCAATGATTTTTGCGCATCTTCTTTGAGTCCTGTCTTCTCAAGAAGCTGTGGCGTGCTAAAGCGGATGGGGTGAATGTTGATAGTTTCGAAGCACGCAAAATCCGCCTCTTGAGTGGCCGTGAATTTAACCGGTATTTTCTTGGGATCCTCTCGAGAAGTTTGAGCCGGTGCCTCTTGAGAAGTTTCAGCCGGTGCTTCATTTCGGAGATGCAATCTCTTTTTTGATGGTTTTTGAACGGATTTGGTAGGTCGAACCCGCTTTCTCAGTCCCTTTGAAGCTTCTTCCCCAACTTTCTTTGTTTTATCTTTGGTAGATGGGGGCTTGGAAGTGGATTTCCATCATAGCTCGACCGTCTCTCACCAACATCCAGTTGCTCACCATGAGCTTCTTGTTCTCTACCTATTGCTCGTCCTTCTTCTTGTGCGATGAACTCGTCTTCATCCGAGACATAACCAGGAATCTTCGCGGTTGAGCCTCCCTTGCTCTGGTGTACACATCCGAGACCGATGTCAAGTCGGTGTTAGGGAGTGGGAAGGAGCGTTTTTCGTGTTTTACGATTGGTGTACACATAGCGATGTTCCCTCGCATCCGTTGTGTCCTCGAGAAATTCGGCCAGTACAAAATATTCGCGGTTGAGCTTCCCTTGCTCTGGTTCTTGGTAGCAACTGACGAGGTCGATTTTGATCTTACGGAAGATCGATGTTAGCATACTTCCCATGAAGCAATCAGGTTCACTAGTGGTTCTTCCCCATGCTCGGATCTTAGTTAACTCCTTAGCAAAAACACACCCCAAGTTGACGTCTTTGACCTCAACATCACTGAACATCGCACAATGTTCGTCCACCATATATCTTCTCACGCCCATGAAGAGTAACCAAAATTCGTCTTGCCTAACCCCTCCAAATTGCTTACTTGCGAAGAAGGTCTTACCGAGTAACCTGTAGATGTAGCGGATTGCAGGATTCCGAATGACAGAAAATTTGGGATTCTTTTTAGTATTGAGATTTGCATTAGCATTCTCCTTAGCTATCGTATTTCAAAAGGAATCCGCGCTAGCGAAGTCTCCAAACTTGGTCTCGCTTCCGTACCAAAATCCATAAATCTCACAAACCTCGGCAATGGTGAGGCTAAAGGCATATCCATTACAAACAAACTTCAAAACCCCTTCATCCAGCTTGGGAATCCTCGGTTTCTTGTATATAAGCTCCACCGACGCAAAAAACTCTCTCACAAGCTCAGGATAGAGAAAGTCCATGGTTTCTGAGAATTTGGTGAGTCCCATTTCCTCAATGATTTTTGCGCATCTTCTTTGAGTCCTGTCTTCTCAAGAAGCTGTGGCGTGCTAAAGCGGATGGGGTGAATGTTGATAGTTTCGAAGCACGCAAAATCCACCTCTTGAGTGGCCGTGAATTGAACCGGTATTTTCTTGGGATCCTCTCGAGAAGTTTGAGCCGGTGCCTCTTGAGAAGTTTCAGCCGGTGCTTCATCTCGGAGATGCAATCTCTTTTTTGATGGTTTTTGAACGGATTTGGTAGGTCGAACCCGCTTTCTCAGTCCCTTTGAAGCTTCTTCCCCAACTTTCTTTGTTTTATCTTTGGTAGATGGGGGCTTGGAAGTGGATTTCCATCATAGCTCGACCGTCTCTCACCAACATCCAGTTGCTCACCATGAGCTTCTTGTTCTCTACCTATTGCTCGTCCTTCTTCTTGTGCGATGAACTCGTCTTCATCCGAGACATAACCAGGAATCTTCGCGGTTGAGCCTCCCTTTCTCTGGTGTACACATCCGAGACCGATGTCAAGTCGGTGTTAGGGAGTGGGAAGGAGCGTTTTTCGTGTTTTACGATTGGTGTACACATAGCGATGTTCCCTCGCATCCGTTGTGTCCTCGAGAAATTCGGCCAGTACAAAATATTCGCGGTTGAGCCTCCCTTGCTCTGGTTCTTGGTAGCAACTGACGAGGTCGATTTTGATCTTACGAAAGATTGGTGTTAGCATACTTCCCATGAAGCAATCAGGTTCACTAGTGGTTCTTCCCCATGCTCGGATCTTAGTTAACTCCTTAGCAAAATCACACCCCAAGTTGATGTCTTTGACCTCAACATCACTGAACATCTCACAATGTTCGTCCACCATATATCTTCTCACGCCCATGAAGAGTAACCACAATTCGTCTTACCTAACGCCTCCAAATTGCTTCCTTGCGAAGAAGGTGTTGCCGAGTAACCTGCGGATGTAGCGGATTGCAGGATTCCGAATGAGAGAAGATTTGGGATTCTTTTTAGCATTGAGATTTCCATTAGCATTCTCCTTAGCTATTGTATTCCAAAAGGAATCCGCGCTAGCGAAGTCTACGAACTTGGTCTCGCTTTCGTACCGAAACCCATAAATCTCACAAACCTCGGCAATGGTGAGGCTAAAAGCATAACCATTACAAACAAACTTCATAACCCCTTCATCCGGCTTGGGAGTCCTCGGTTTCTTGTATATAAGCTCCACTGAAGCAAAGAACTCTCTCACAAGCTCAGGATAGAAAAAGTCCATGGTTTCTGAGAATTTGGTGAGTCCCTTTTCCTCAATGATTTTCACGCATCTTCTTTGAGTCATGTCTTCTCAAGAAACTGTGGCGTGCTAAAGCGGGTGGGGTGAATGTTGATAGTTTTGAAGCACGCAAAATCCGCCTCTTGAGTGGCCGTGAATTGAACCGGTATTTTCTTGGGGTCCTCTCGAGAAGTTTGAGCCGGTGCCTCTTGAGAAGTTTCAGCCGGTGCTTCATCTTGGAGATGCAATCTCTTTTTTGATGGTTTTTGAACGGATTTGGTAGGTCGAACCCGCTTTCTCAGTCCCTTTGTAGCTTCTTCCCCAACTTTCTTTGTTTTATCTTTGGTAGATGGGGGCTTGGAAGTGGATTTCCATCATAGCTCGACCGTCTCTCACCAACATCCAGTTGCTCACCATGAGCTTCTTGATCTCTATCTATTGCTCGTCCTTCTTCTTGTGCAATGAACTCGTCTTCATCCGAGACATAACCAGATATCTTCCTTAACTTTGACTTTATCCAATTAAACTTGTTCTTGGCCATCTTGTTCATCGTCATTTGGATCTTGTAAGCATTGTAGAAGATCTTCTCCCGTTCCATATTTGGCTCGAAAGGTAATTCCGGGAGTTCCCAAAGATCACTTACGACTTGTGGCTCATCGGTTTCAGGTTCCTCGGTTTTGCCTCTTTTGCTCTTTGGAACTAAAACAGTAAGATCTTCTCCCTTGTGCTCAAAACAAATGTTGGCGAGTGATGTGATCGATGTCAAGTCGGTGTTGGGGAGTGGGAAGGAGCGTTTTTCGTGTTTTGCGATTGGTGTACACATAGCGATGTTCCTTCGCATCCATTGTGTCCTCGAGAAAATTGGCCAGTACAAAATATTCGCGGTTGAGCTTCCCTTGCTCTGGTTCTTGGTAGCAACTGACGAGGTCGATTTTGATCTTACAGAAGATCGGTGTAGCATATTTCCCATGAAGCAATCGGGTTCACTCGTGGTTCTTCCCCATGCTCGGATCTTAGTTAACTCCTTAGCAAAAACATACCCAAGGTTGACGTCTTTGACCTCAACATCACTGAACATCGCACAATGTTCGTCCACCATATATCTTCTCACGCCCATGAAGAGTAACCACAATTCGTCTTGCCTAACCCCTCTAAATTGCTTCCTTGCGAAGAATGTGTTGCCGAGTAACCTGTGGATGTAGCAGATTGCAGGATTCCGAATGAGAGCAGATTTGGGATTCTTTTTAGCATTGAGATTTCCATTTGCATTCTCCTTAGCTATCGTATTCCAAAAGGAATACGCGCTAGCGAAGTCTCCGAACTTGGTCTCGCTTCCGTACCAAAACCCATAAATCTCACAAACCTCGGCAATGGTGAGGCTAAAGGCATATCCATTACAAACAAATTTCAAAACCCCTTCATCCGGCTTGGGAATCCTCGGTTTCTTGTAGATAAGCTCCACCGACGCAAAGAACTCTCTCACAAGCTCAGGATAGAGAAAGTCCATGGTTTCTGACAATTTGGTGAGTCCCATTTCCTCAATGATTTTCGCACATCTTTTTTGAGTCCTGTCTTCTCAAGAAACTGTGGCGTGCTAAAGCGGGTGGGGTGAATGTTGATAGTTTCGAAGCACGCAAAATCTGCCTCTTGACTGGCCGTGAATAGAACCGGTATTTTCTTGGGGTCCTCTCGAGAAGTTTGAGTCGGTGCCTCTTGAGAAGTTTCAGCTGATGATTCCTCTTGGAGATGCACTCTCTTTTTTGATGGTTTTTGAACGGATTTGGTAGGTCGAACCCGCTTTCTCAGTCCCTTTGAAGCTTCTTCCCCAACTTTCTTTGTTTTATCTTTGGTAGATGGGGGCTTGGAAGTGGATTTCTATCATAGCTCAACCGTCTCTCACCAACATCCAGTTGCTCACCATGAGCTTCTTGATCTCTATCTATTGCTCGTCCTTCTTCTTGTGCGATGAGCTCGTCTTCATCCGAGACATAACCAGAAATCTTCCTTAACTTTGACTTTATCCAATTAAACATGTTCTTGGCCATCTTGTTCATCGTCTTTTGGATCTTGTAAGCATTATAGAAGATCTTCTCTCGTTCCATCTTTGGCTCGAAAGGTAATTCCGGGAGTTCCCAAGAATCACTTACGGCTTGTGGCTCATCGGTTTCAGGTTCCTCGGTTTTGCCTCTTTTTCCCTTTGGAACCAAAACAGTAAGATCTTCTCCCTTGTGCTCAAAACTAATGTTGGCTAGTGATGTGATCGATGTCAAGTCGGTGTTGGGGAGTGGGAAGGAGCGTTTTTCGTGTTTGCGATTGGTGTACACATAGCGATGTTCCCTCGCATCCGTTGTGTCCTCGAGAAATTCGGCCAGTACAAAATATTCGCGGTTGAGCTTCCCTTGCTCTGGTTCTTGGTAGCAACTGACGAGGTCGATTTTGATCTTACGGAAGATCGGTGTTAGCATACTTCCCATGAAGCAATCAGGTTCACTAGTGGTTCTTCCCCATGCTCGGATCTTAGTTAACTCCTTAGCAAAAACACACCCCAAGTTGACATCTTTGACCTCAACATCACTGAACATCGCACAATGTTCGTCCACCATATATCTTCTCACGCCCATGAAGAGTAACCACAATTCGTCTCGCCTAACCTCTCCAGATTGCTTCATTGCGAAGAAGGTGTTGCCGAGTAACCTGTGGATGTAGCGGATTGCAGGATTCCGAATGTGAGAAGATTTGGGATTCTTTTTAGCATTGAGATTTCCATTAGTATTCTCCTTAGCTATCGTATTCCAAAAGGAATCCGCGCTAGCGAAGTCTCCGAACTTGGTCTCGCTTCCGTACCGAAACCCATAAATCTCACAAACCTCGGCAATGGTGAGGTTAAAGGCATATCCATTACAAACAAACTTCAAAACCCCTTCATCTGGCTTGGGAATCCTTGGTTTCATGTATAAAGCTCCACCGACGCAAAGAACTCTCTCACAAGCTTAGGATAGAGAAAGTCCATGGTTTCTGCGAATTTGGTGAGTCCCATTTCCTCAATGATCTTTTGCACATCTTTTTTGAGTCCTGCCTTCTCAAGAAATTGTGGCGTGCTAAAGCGGGTGGGGTGAATATTGATAGTTTTGAAGCACGCAAAATCCGCCTCTTGACTGGCCGTGAATTGAACCGGTATTTTCTTGGGGTCCTCTCGAGATGTTTGAGCCGGTGCCGCTTGAGAAGTTTCAGCCGGTGCTTCATCTTGGAAATGCAATCTCTTTTTTGATGGTTTTTGAACGGATTTGGTAGGTCGAACCCGCTTCTCAGTCCCTTTGAAGCTTTTTCCCCAACTTTCTTTGTTTTATCTTTGGTAGATGGGGGCTTGGAAGTGGATTTCCATCATAGCCCACCAACATCCAGTTGCTCACCATGAGCTTCTTGATCTCTATCTATTGCTCGTCCTTCTTCTTGTGCAATGAACTCGTCTTCATCCGAGTCATAACCAGGAATCTTACTTAACTTTGACTTTATCCAATTACACTTGTTCTTGGCCATCATGTTCATCGTATTTTGGATCTTGTAAGCATTGTAGAAGATCTTCTCCCGTTCTGTCTTTGGCTCGAAAGGTAATTTCGGGAGTTCCCAAGGATCACTTACGGCTTGTGGCTCATCGGTTTCAGGTTCCTCGGTTTTGCCTCTTTTTCCCTTTGGAACCAAAACAGTAAGATCTTCTCCCTTGTGCTCAAAACTAATGTTGGCGAGTGATGTGATCGATGTCAAGTCGGTGTTGGGGAGTGAGAAGGAGCGTTTTTCGTGTTTGCGATTGGTGTACACATAGCGATGTTCCCTCGCATCTGTTGTGTCCTCGAGAAATTCGGCCAGTACAAAATATTCGCGGTTGAGCTTCCCTTGCTCTGGTTCTTGGTAGCAACTGACGAGGTCGATTTTGATCTTACGGAAGATCGGTGTTAGCATACTTCCCATGAAGCAATCGGGTTCACTAGTGGTTCTTCCCCATGCTCGGATCTAGCATTGTTCACTTGTGGAAGTCTCTCTTTGAAGCAACACCGGAAGTGATAAACCCTAATAAGCCTATACTATTTGAGTTGTTTAGGCCTGTCCGGGACGAAGATCTCCGTCGTCGTCTTGCTTCTTTACTCATATGAATTAGAGTTTCTTAGATTGGTTAATCTTATTTTATCGCAGATTGTTATTCCGCTTATAATTATGAAAAAATATTGATCCAATGGGTTATCTAAATAAATTTATGACAAAAGTTATGAGTCAATCCCAATTAAAAAAATTCAATTTTTGTACATCTAATTTTGTAAACATGTCAATAGCTCATGAATAGACACAACTCAAAGCTTTATTTGTATTTATCTATCACTAAATACAATTTTTTTTGCGAGTGTGTTGGTCGATGTAGTCATGTTGGTGTTATGATTACTTCTAACACAAAGTATTCACCGATTTGAGACTTTGATTATAAGCATGTGCACTGGTTTAAGGACTGTACTTCATTAGGATATACATAAACTTAATACACCAAACATACATCCAAATGTCTATGCTCTACTGTCTCCTTTGTCAATCTATACACATAACTTAGTATCTTCGTATTAGAAGAAGAATCACCACAGACCAAGATCAAAAGATGGCGCATCTTTCTCCACACCATCACTCCTCTGCATGCCTGGATTTGCTATAACCGTTGCTGCATCTTCCTTCTCTTTTGCTTCTGACCTCTGTTTCGACAATAACAATGTGGCTTGTGCTTCCATGGCATCAAAGTCTAGTGTCGCGAAGAATGCATCATCATCATCGTCGACACCATCATTGTACTCTAATGCACCTGCATTGCTTCTCACGCCTTCATGGCTTTCCTTCTCTGTGGTTTGTGCTGCAAACTTGCTTTCTAAGTTAATCACGGGGGCATTCCCCGAGTTGCATAAGTTGAATTTTCTTTTCCGGCTCTCTGATGAGATTTGTACTACCGAAAAGTCTCCTATGACCATTGCATCTTGGTTTGACTCAGAGTTTGTTGTTTGTGGGGTTCGAAGAGACGAGGACAATGATTTATCTGAGTCGCTTCTGCTCTCATTTATTCTCTTCAAGGGTCCAGCAGAATAGGGACTCGGACTTGATGCGGCTAAATCACGAAACCTCGCCGGTAATGGTGACTGGCTGAGAAGAGAACGTCTGTGGAAGGATACCTTGTGATTTTTAGTAAGCTCATTGACCATTTACTCACAAACAGAAGAAATATATTTTCGATCCTATATACCTGTAAACAGCCATCATGTCAACTTTACCAGACTCGGCTTGAGTATTTGCTGTAGGCAGTGTCCCGTCATCTATGAAACTATCTTCAAATGAATCGCCAGTCACATCTTCGTTCTCATCAGCCGACATTTCTGCTCCCGAAGAGACCCTGATCAAAATAGAGAGGTTTTTTAAACAACTAACATCAACTCTGTATTCAGAAAACTACTATTGTTATGTTATCTCTCGCTGTTTTTGTGGAAGTAAGAAAGACCATCTGATGTTGATTTTTAGATTAGATAAGAACTTACTCAGCTTCTTCGTCAATGAAGACTTGGACATCATCATCCATGATCATCTTCTTCTTACCTTAAGACACAGAGCAACCAAGCAGCAATCATTCAAACAGATCAACATGACAAATGTTTCAATTCTCTCAGCACATCGAGACTTTTATCTAAAGCAAATGTTTACGGAAAACTATTATTTTAACTGAAAATGGACTCTTCTCTTTTTTTGTCACCAATGCAAAAGAAACAGAAGAAAGTGTAAACCAACTCTCAGCACTTTTCCACTTCACTTTGACACCAGCAACATTCTATTCTAGTTACGCCTGGTATATCGTTAGATGGTTATAATAAGATCTTATGACCAAACCAATTGGCGACATTCTGGTGATGTTAAGCAACATCAGAATCCATAAATTTCGGTCATTGTCAACTCTCAAGTTATTTCAATGTAGTAAAAGAAAACACAGAACCAATTACCTCTAATGAGCTTTTTACGTCGAGAACGAGATCTGATATGGTCTGCCTCTTTAATACCAGGATTATTCTCCTTAACAGCACTCGAGCAATCGCCAAGTCTACGTAGTCTCTTCAACTTTCGAGGCTGTCGAATAGTTTCTGACTTTTCTCCAGAACTCACCCGCCAATCTTTGCTAGCGCTGCTGTTTGTGTTTGTGAGATTAGCCAAGGGAGTTCTCCACTCCTCAGGAATGGGAGAAACAGCCAAGCATTCTGTTCCGTTGGCCAAACCTACCTCCTTCTGAGGAGTTCTCAATTCATTGGTTGTAGACGCAATGTTATAATCGTTGCGTTTATGCTGAACCTTTGTCTCAGGGGAAGAAGGCTCTCCTGCCAATTCGTTACTTAACCTCATGGATGAAGAAACCTGAGGAAAATCAAGGTCTTCTCTGTTTGCTTCATTTGCAACTCCTGCAGCATTAAAGATCTTATTAGAACATAATAACTTCTTATGGTTAGGCAGTTACATTGGTAGTTGCTAAAGGTAAGTACAAATGGTGCTTAATAGCCAACTTTAAGTTTTTCTTTGCGCTAGTAAAATAGGATTAGAAAAACTTTATAGATATGTCGAAGTAAATGTGTTGTCTGAATTTTTTAAATACAGTCCTGTTCTCTAAAATACTGATCAATATAATTATGTATATTTTGTAGATCTAGATTTTTCTAAATTTTTCATAGAACTTTACGTATATATAAAACTTCTCTACTACCAGAAGTTCTGTGGTTGAAGCCTATTGCAACAGCAACCCAAACACTATATGATTGATCCTTTCCATGTGTTGGGGCTCAAAAGAAGATGAAAAAACACTCAAGTAGAGATCCTCTCCATTTGTTCTTATCTGATTATACTAAATAAAGAAATAACACTAACCTTGGTCATAGACAGGTGACTCTGGAACAACGCCACTCTTGATGAAATTAGTGAGTCTTGGACTAAGCTCCAAGCCCTCCCAGTCGTCTTCATCCGATGATAACACAATTTCTCCAACAGAATTCCCAACATCTTCTTGACCTACACTGGTGGAGTGCCTTTTCACATGGCTATGAGTCTCTAGTGTCTTGTTGGCACCGTCTGGCGAGAATCTTTCTTTTAACGTGTCTGAAATATTATCTTGCCGATGTTTTGCCGGAGTATCTATCAGAACTGAATCAATGTGGGAAATATTCTGGCAAGAATGTTGTTTTTCTGTTTTAGGCAGAGGCATATTGTCTGACTCCAGAACATTAGAAAAGAATGAAAGAGGAACTGGCATTACGAAGACCTTCCCCAAAGTATCAACGGCTGCACATTCTGAACTGAAAAGATAACGGTGCGTGGGTGAAGATTCTTCGTAATCTTTCTCTGTAGTCTCTAAGGTGCTTGTGGGAGATTCAACTTGTTTTGCCTTTTTCTGTGATGTGTTGACTTCCAACTCACGGACACAGTGTAAATCTGCACATTAATAAAACAGAATGGTGTGTTCCAACATTACAACGAAAGGCCTGATTTTCATAGATTTGCAAAGCAAAGATACATTATTGACCAGACAATAAGCTATTGATCGAAGTGACATAATGCTATATAAAATACGTTCATACTATATCCAACACCATTCAGAAAGATATTACCTAAAGAGAGCAGAGAGTACATCCTAAAATAAACTTTTTGGTCATTGTCGTTGTATATATTGATTGATAGCTTATAGACTATAGACCTCCTACTGGCTGATAGCTTATAAGCCTACAGACCTCCTACTAGCTGGTTTTAAGAATAAATTATAGAATTGATACTTCAGCAAGATCAATGAGACTATATTTACCTTTTGGATCATTAGTAACCCTCAAACCTGTATCAAGCTCTTCTCTTTCACCCAAAGGAGCTCCCAACTATTACAGTAAGTGATTCCGCGTAAGTGAAAAGTGAATTCACAGAAGGTAAGGAAAGATCAAATTTTACCAGGATTATGAACCACACCTCAGTGAAGAAACTTTTACTCTGCTCTGAAAAAGTTGGCTCTTGCAAATGCTGCATAGCGTCAATTAACATGCCTGTTTGACGTGAATGCATTACTTTGTGAACTTTGGATGGCAATGTCTGGAAGTGAGGGAACGCAATTAAGGACACTCTCAACATTTCCTCATCGGGGTTGTTGTAATACTTAGCGAGCATATCCATTTCTGCAGATGTAAGCTTTTTCTTGAAAGCTGGAGTCTCAGTGGCATACTCATCTTGTAGTTTCGTTCCACGTGGAATGAATTGCTTGATTGAAAACTCAACATGCTGAACTTCTGGCTTATAAACATGGGGAATCTATAATAACACATGACAGGGATATATGAAGTTAAGAGATGTAGAAAACTGAAGCAACAAGGTAAGGAAAACAAATTATCAAAAAAGAAAAGCTCTTACCATCCTTGGACTAGGATGAAAATTAAAACTATTTGTTCCTCCATTCCGCATGTGTTTTTTAATGGCCCGTCCACTTGCTTGCTTTCGCATATAGCTGTTCTTTTCTGATCCTTCACAAGCAAGAACTAGTAAAGGCTAGTCAAGGAATGGAAAGTGTAACTTCAAAGACTTCGCATATAGAGTTCCAATGAAAAAGTGTAACTTCAAAGATTTGTAATGGAAAGATCAATGAGAAGTGCATAAATCAAGCAAGCTAAAGGATATCAACTCGACCATTATTTTTCCTTCCGGTTCTTCCCATGCGTTGAATCATCCTCAGAGGGGATACATTAGCATCAAAACATATAACTAGGTCAACTTCCATGATATCCAAGCCTTCTTCACCAATAGATGTAGCGACAATAACATTGAACCCCCCAGCTCTAAATTTCTGTTGGAAAAATGAGTTTATCATACAAGAGATGGTCAAAAAAACAAATCAAAGTTCAAATCTTTATAAAATCAGATACAGGGAAACAGACATACCTCCAAAACAGCCTGCTGAACTTTTTGCGACTGCCCTTTCAGTGTCTTACCTGCACGAAACATATATTGTAACAATTATAATTGATACTTCTGTCATTTGTGTGTAACTGGAATTTCTAGATGTAAATATCAGAGTAACAAACCTGAACTTTGACCAATAAACTCAGTTGCTTTGACCATATCTCCAATATTACTTAATGCGTTCATTATGTCTCTGAAGATTAACGTAATCAGATGAATGCAAACGAAGAAATATGATGAGCGAGTAAACAAGGGAACACAGACAACAATTATACAGACCTTACGCTTCCTCTGAAATTTGAGAAAATAATGACCCGTGATGTGCTTGGATCTCTCACTTCTGCAGCCATAGAATAAGATCATATCAATGTTCAGTTGTAAAAAACAGCTGAGAAGTAACATCAACTCCAGATCATAATTTCAAAAGAAAACATACTGAAATGATCAACTAGTATTTCTAACATCTTCGACAATTTTGGGCTTGGTGCTCCATGTGACAACCTTTGCTGCATCAAAAGCTTCGTCTTCATAATATTTTCATTCTTACTCATCAACCTAGCAAATGGCCTGCAAAGGGTGATAGTTTTAGACAATGCTCTTGATATCAAAAGCAATAATACCTAAACCCACTGAAGGCATTCCAAAAAATCAGTTCAACAGATGAAAGTAAGAGCATACCCTTCTTTCAATTTCTCTTCTAGCATCTCATATGCTGGTCTTATTCCATGACTAGAAAGGAGCTTACGAATATGATAAAGAGTGATAAGAGCTGAAAAGCAAGATTCTACATCTCCGTGATTTACATGGGGAAGGCCTGGGAGAGGTGCTTGACGAAACTTATCCCTTGCCATAAGTACTTCGTGTGGACTTAACTGTCAAGCATGATTTGATACTTGCGTGGATAAGAAAATGTGACCATTGACGCTATTGATGAAACAGATATAAGGATTGAGGCACATACAGTTTGTATATCTCTATTTAGATTAACCCCAAAGTTTTTAAGCCTGACTGCATATGGACGTATAACATCTAACAGGCGTTTCGAAACATCATCTGCATCTTGACCCAACGGAACCTGCTCTGCCAGAAATATGCTAAAATTATTAGACATGAATTTGGAAAGCAACACAATCGGAAAATGCAGAAAACCAGCTTGAACCTCGATTAGTTCTAATTTTCTGTCGTGGACATAAGGGCAAACATCATGGTCACTCTCATTTCGATATTCAAGTGTGGATATCTGCAAATTATCAATGATACCCTGGATGGCCAGTGTCTTTGCTGAAAGTAACATCTACGGTTAACGGATGCAGAAATATAATAACCCCCAGCACCACAAAAAAAAAAAAACGAAAGTCAATCACTTACATCCAGGAGTTGCAGTAAGAGCCAGTATTCTCAATTGTACTGGTACCGCCATCAACTAAAAGTTAAAGGGCATTAGTTGGCACCTTCACCTTGATCATTTTTGCATGAATAAAGAGAAAGAAAAGAAACACATAGAGATGCTCCAAGATATGAAAAAGAACATGTTCAGGGCAAAGGCAAGTTACTTAAAAGTCCAAACACTAAAAGAAAAACCAACCTCACGAACTACAACACAATAAGAATAATTCCCTAAAGCTCGATGTGCCTCGTCGATCACCAAGCAAACCAAGTAGTTAGTAAGACATGTTCCTGAAAGGGACGTTTTTGTGATCAAATGGTAATTTGAGAAAATAAGCATTAAGAGGTTTTAGCTCAGAATATTGTTAGAATAACCCGAGCATCACCTGACTGTATATCCTTCTCTAACACTTGTGGAGTGACAAAGAAAACCCGTTTGCTTTTCCACAAGAAGGCTCTTTTCGAAGGGCATGTCTGACCCGTCAAGTCAATAGTCCATTCCTGCAGTCAGTTTAACCCACATTTCTCAAAATATGTCTAAGAGTCTGACAAGAGAAATAAACAGATTCTCAATATTTGGAGAGTCAACACAACAAATGGAGAATCTGTTTGAAGTGAGTTACATACTTGTGGTATTCCCACAATATTATGACACGCCTCAATCTGCTGCATCACAAGAGGCCTAGAAGGCGCCGCAAATACAATTTTACCTAGGAACAACAACAATTACAGCTTTCAGTTACATTCCTAAATCATTAAGCAAGAGACTCAATAGCTACTTAATGAAGATTCTACCTTCTGGAAACCATCTGAAGTAATTATACATAACAACCGCGGCTATGAGCGTTTTACCAAGTCCGGTCGGCAGAGCCACCAATGTATTCGAAAACAAAGCAGTCTTCGTTATAGCAAACTGATAATCTCTAAGAGGAACACTCCCATTCACTGAAACACCAAACACACAAACACATTATTAATCCCCACACCACAACTTGCAAAGATTAATCATAAGTTACAATCTCCCAAACCTGGATAAATCCAAGTTTTAGCAGCCTCAGGATCAATCCCAACTAATGGACTCTTATCGTTACCACCAGCACACTCAAATTCATCAAAATTCGACTCGGAAACAGCTTGATTCTCCGGTTTATGCTCGGTTCTTCCGATGAATTTATCGAGAGTAGATTGTCTTTTCGCAGGAGGCTTAGTGACATTTCCAGTAATTGGTGGATGAGCCAAAGGAGTGAAATGAGACGAAGAAGAATGATTTGAGGTTTTAAGACAAGCCAAGTCGATTTCTTTGACTGCTGCTTCCCAATCGAACTCCTATAGGAGCAAACCCAGAAGTTGAAAATTTGAAAAATCGAATCAAATAACGAAAATTTCAAAAACCCAGAAAGAGATTTTAACTCACTTCGTCTTCTTCGATGGTTTCTATTGGAACCCTAGATCCCATTTCTGGGGAATTACTTGATTCTCTGTAAGAATCTAGCTTTTTGAAATTTCTACTCTTTTACGATTTCGCATGAATCTTTAGATTTCAGATTTTAGGTTTGTCGTCGTTCTTTGGAAGAAACCCTCGACGAAGAGACAGAGAGATTGGCGGGCAAATTTTGGAAAACAAAAAAAGAGAAAAATGGTCTCCAAATTTAAATTAGGAAAAATATCATTTAATCCCCTAACTTTCAAATTGTGACCATTTAATATATCAACTTCATATGTGGCCATTTAAAACATTAACTAAACGTTGACTAACGTTTGAAACATAAAAATTCGTTGACCAGGTCAAAATAGACATGTTGTTATCAGTCGTTAACGGAACCTCTAACGCCCGTTATCACCCCTAACGACTGTGTTAGTCAACTTTCAAATTGTGGCTATTTTAAACATCAACTTCATATGTGGTCATTTAAAACATGAACTAAACGTTGACTAACGTCTGAAACATGAGAATTCGTTGACCATGCCAAAATAGACATGTCGTCATCAGTCGTTAAAAGAACCTATCACATCCGTTATCACCCGTTAACGACTCTATTAGTAAGTCCAAAACGACTCAGTTTTGAGGATAATCGAGAGGAAATCAAGATTTTTTTCCAAATGAAAACATCAAATCCCCAAATCTATTTCTACAACAGCTAGAAAATGACCTTTTATATCCCATTTCGGAAAAGCTACATTTAGTCCTATGATGGGTCTACAAGTTTGCTTCCATGATTCCTTTTAAGATTTAAAACAAATATATAAACAAAAAAAAACCTCTGTTAGAGATTCCGTTAACGATTGATAACGGCATGTCTATTTTGGCCTGGTAGACGAATTTTCATGTCTCAAACGTTAGTCAACATTTAGTTCATGTTTTAAATGGCCACATATGAAGTTAATGTATTAAATGGCCATAATTTGAAAGTTGGGAGATTAAATGACATTTTTCCCGATTTGAAATCTCCAAATGCAACTATGTTTATTTATTAGACATATTAAATCAATGATTTTAATTTTCCTTCAAAGTTTTTTCATATTGAATTGGTGTGATTTTCTAAAAAGTTTTGGTAATTTATCTTGTTGGATTTTCTATTTCGTAAAATTGTTCTAAATCCAATAAGATAAATTATGAACAATTTCGTGATAATATTTGAACAATTTCGATTCCCATTTACTTAACCGAACATGTTTAGCTAATCGGTTAATCATCAAAGGACTCGAAAGTATTCATGTCTTTTCATAAAATCTCTTCTCTTTATTCAGACCCGTCTCAATCATTAGCTCGACGCGGTGCAATACAAATTTCTCACATTGGCTTGGTCGATTTTGTTGATCAAATCTTTTAGAAACACATTACTCATCCATTTTTGATAGGAGAAGGAAAAATCAGAAATTGATTCACAATCAAATAAACTAACGACTATAGGGAAAATAAAAGCTTTGACCTCTGGATATTGGAATTGTTTACCAGATTTTGAGATAAGTCTTTGTCGAATCCAAAAAGAAAAAAAAGGAACGAGGGATTGCAGAAAGAAAGGCAACAACAGGTTTAGACTTTAGTGTTTAGATTAAAATATAATTATTAATTCAGGTTTTTATTAATTTATTTTAAACCAAAAAATTGAAATTGGGCTTGACCGAGTGCAAATGCACTTCTTGCAATAGGCCAGCGCCGGACATGTCTTTATCTATAATTATAAAGGAAGATTGCAGAAAGACCCGATAAATAACTTTGTGATCATTGACTCAAAGAGAGAATTTTAGAGAAAGAGATAAACGTTTTGGATAGAGAAAGCTTCGAAAGATCAACCAAAAGAGCACTTAAATGGTGGCTTGTGGTTGTTTTCCGTCCATACCTCAACCCTGATTTCGGCATAGATTTTCAATCAATTTTGTACCATTTCATCAATAAACTGATACAAAATATTTATTCCGTTGTAATGTTTCCGCAGAAAAAAATAACACTAAAACAATAGCAACTACGGACCGATGTCTTTTTCTATTTTTTCATAAGCCACGGTCCTGTACATATCTAGTAGTTTTATACCTCACAATAATATGCATTGGAGTAATTTTCATCTAGATTTTAAAAGCCCAATTTGTTTTTTTTTTTTAAATCAATACAAGTAACCATAATTTAAAACTCAATGAAAACACATGTATACAATAAATAATAGGACTCTAAAACACTAAAGAATCAATGTCATCGTATATCTTCTTCGGCATGCTATTTTTCTAGATCGCCACTTATGTGTGTATAAATCGTTTATGCCCATTTGGGTCTGAAATAGTCTTTAAAATAGTGTGTTTAGTGCACACAACTCCAAAAAGACACAACTTGTTTTGAAGTTTATAATCATTAAAGAACCCGTTTAGGTTTCACCGTTTGGCAATTCATACAAGGTTCATGTGATCCCACTTTACAAACACAAACGTCACGCACCACCCACGAACTAGTAACAAGATCCGACCCGACAAAGCGAGTCGGACCATACCCGAGTGTTAGGTCCAAGTTCAGCTCCTTGTCCCCACGATCATAACTATAATCGCCATCAGTACTTAACCGTAGATCCTCGTCTATAGTTGTACCGCTAGTAGAAGCACCGCTTTCAGACGAAGTCTTCGTCTTTGGAAACGTGGACTTCACATCTCGAAACGGTGCCGTTTTGGGTTCGTTGATCGAACGGTGAGTTTTTGGGTCAATCCCATGGTTAAGAAGCTTTCTCTTTACATGAGTGTTCCAATAGTTTTTAATCTCATTATCTGTTCTTCCCGGTAATTTCCCAGCTATCAAAGACCATCTGAAAAAAGAAAAAAAAGACAAATTCCAAAAGTGAGCAACACTGGTTTTTAAACTTGGTCATCCGGTTATGTTAAACCGGTTATTTATGTGGTTTTGTCAAATTGGATCTGCTTGCATATAAACCAAATTGAAGAGAAAACCATTTATTTACTTTTCTCCAGTGTTTTCAAAACCGGACCACACCGGCCAGTTGAACCTATTCGACCGTGACTTGAATAACTAGCCGATGTTGGTTATCACCAAAAACCGGTATTGGAAAGACTCGCAAAAACCGGTAAAAAGTCGGATAAAACCGGTGAACGGTTCGGACCAATGACTCACTAAAACCCGGTTCTTCGTTTTTTCAGTCTTTCACCATTGTTTTTACTTTTTATTGTTCATAATTAAAAAAAAAAATGACTTAATTTTCTTTATAATAAAAAACTCAATCCCGGGAAAGAGAAAGGAAATTACTTGTTGCCGAATATACTATGAAGTTTTAACAATGATTTGATCTTCACCATCAGTGAAATTTCCACGTTTAAGATCAGGACGAAGATAATTAATCCACCTTAATCTACAACTTTTTCCACACCGCAACAACCCTACAAAATGTTTAAAAAAAATACAATTTTAAAAATCATTAGACCAAGAAACCTAATAATCAAAACATAAAGAAATGTTTTTTGGAAAAGAATTACCGGCGGATTTAGGAAGAGAACGCCAAGAACCTTCACCATTAGTACGTATGTAATCAATAAGAAGTTGATCTTCTTCTTTAGTCCATGCTCCTTTGTTTGTGTGAGCTTTTTCACAACATGGTGATCTTCCCATGATGATGATGATGATGGTTACATGTGGGTGATGAGACAGAGTGAGAGTAGGATCTAAAGAGATGTGTTATAAAAAGGAAGTGACTTTGACCAAGTTGGTGTAATGTAATTTTGTGGGTGAAAGAGATTTGGTAGGTTACCTTCTTTTTCTTTCTTGCCTTAGATTTTTTTGTCTTTTTATTTTGTACTAAGAGAGGGGTTTGGTGAGGATATTATTTAGATGGATTTTGTATTTGTTACTTGTGATATGGATGAATTATTTTATTACAAATTATTTTTGGTTTTTAATGTTTTATGTATATCTTGATTCTTTTGGGTTATTTAACCTTCTAGAAGGAAAATGAGTGGTGGATAAACACTGAAACAAGATCCAAATTGCATCTTACCTGCCTTTTTGGCACTATCTTACTTTCCTTTTCTAGAAGATTTATTTTCTTTTGACAAGGAAAAAAAAAGATTTTTCTTTTGTTCTTTCTTTGTTTAATTTAATTACACTCTCCTAAGTCCTAAACCTTGGCATACTTTTACTTTATTACTAACACAGCTACTAGAAAACAAAGTTAAGGGTTAAAAATTATAAGAAGCAAAACAAAAACAAAGAGGCAAAAATTTGCTAAATAGAATTACTCAAAACAAATTCTTGCTAAAGCAAATTGTATTTTGGGGTATGTGTCACAACTCTACAAATTATTTTCGGGTATGTGTCATTGCATTTTATATTGTTCTGTTCATTTTACCTTACACCAAAATAAGACTAAATCCTTAAGTTTCTTCTCATACCCTAAGATAATTTCTTTCATAATTCTGACTAGAATTTTCCAATAACAATATGTAAAACATAGATTATTTGCATCTTATATGAAGTTAGTAAGTTCTGAAAAAACGAAAACACAGATTAGAATGAAACAATTGTCCAGAAGCCATTACATAGAGTATCAATTAGAGATCAAAATGTGCATACAATAGAACAGAAGGGAGACTGGTAATTAACGTTGAAAGAATGTTATGTACACACAAAAATTTGTATCGATAAACAAAATACTACTCTTAGATTCCCCGAACTTTTGAGGGGCAAAAAATGCTTATACATGGATCATGATACAACATATATATAAGTTACATGTATGGTTGGAGTCATAAACAGTTATAACACTGAACAGCAGGAATCCGGTTTAAGCTGGATCGGTTTGAGGTTCGGGATCAGGTTCTTTACACATGCAATCGGGCATGGGGAACGTGTAGAGTGATGCAGCGGGTTTCCTTAATTCGACTCCCTTTGCATCATTGTGTCTAAGCATATCTTGCATTTGTTTCTTGAAGTAGTCCCATCTATAAAAAAAAAACCACCCAAACCGAAGAAAATACTTTAGAGGCAGATGAATCTATGTGTTTGAGGTTAAGAGTTATTAAGAAATCAAGTACCTAATGCTTGGTTTATCTAAGAGCTGGACTAGTTTCCGCTTATCGGGTTTGATTGTCTCCGCGTGGCCTTTGTAAAGGTAACGACGATGACCTATCAAGAAATGAGGGAAGTTTCCACCTTGAGTGGATACAAACACTTCACTGTGGAGACATACTGTGTAATCCAGTGCAGCCAATCTTGATGAGTGTCCCTACAGTTTCACAAATACAGCAATTTGTTTATATCATAAAGTTACTTTTTTTTTTTGAACTAGAATATTAGATAATGGTCAAAATCTTTCTATTCCAAGGGCATGTTATGGAAGAGCCCACAGGTTTAATGAGCAATTGCTTTAAGAACCTAACGCTCCTAACCTAATAATAGAATCATTCTGATTCCTACCAACCAGTGGACAAAAATTTCTCTTTCCTATAAACACGGCTTCTAAAAAGACAGCACTCTATAAGCTAGCATAAAACCATTTAACATTCTCACCAAACTCTGGACATCAATGTTTCCCCATCATTATTTGTCTAAATTCCCTCGTTTGAAATGTGAGATAATTCCTATCAATTAAAATGAACCAACCAAAATCTATCCTATTTCTCACAAAACAGTTCATAGAGCGAGGAGAATGAAACAATTCATGAAACTACCATACTCTAACAGCCAAACTCCATTCTATTTCTCCAAAAACAATTTAAGCATCTTAAGTCCCAATGAGTAAAGACATTGGAGTTTGGTTACCTACCTTGAACGGAGCAAGCTCCTCTGGAGTAGCTAGAGTGTTCTTGGTTTGGAGAAGAGGAAACATCTGCCTAAGAGGAGCCATATATTTGTCAGCTTTGTAAATGTTTCCCGCAGCAACGTAAACCAAGGTGCTATTGTTAAAACCCATGCCCCTAAGCATCATTCCGACCTACAGAGTGATGTTACCAAAAATGTATCAGTTCCAATAAACTCTTTTATCCCTAGAGTTAATTGTGATGTAAAGTCACTAGATGAACTGGATTTAAGATTTCAAAGGAGGTGGGGCAGTTTTTCAGTGATACCTCCAGTGGGGTTAAAGGGCATTTTCCATCTATGCGGTTTGCACCAGGCCTAATTACTCTGCCTCTCCTCCTGAACTTTCCTTTCCACCCTCTTTCCCGGGCCATGTCCATTTCTAGCTTCTCCGCCTTCCCAAAGTCATATTCGCAACACGAGAAGGCAACCATGTCCTATGGAAGAGAAGAAAATTGAGATTATGAAAAGAGGGAAGTAGGACATAGGAAGTAGGAATTGAAGAAATGGGTTGGCAGGAATTCTATACCATTTCAAAGCGGAGATGAACAGACACATATTTTCCTCCGCTCTGAACACTCTTCGTAACCATCCTATTGACCATTTTCTCTGCAAGTAGCCGTATGGGCTCTGCAAATCTCAATGCTTCAAAGTTTGCTAAGCATCTGAGTCCTTGAATGTGTGCAGGAACTGCATGAGCTAACCTGTTGGAGAATGGTGCAACACGGACAGCCCTAATGAAAGAAGCAAAAATAAAGTAAGAAATCAAGGGATAGAGCTCTCAGTAACCAAAAACATCACATTATGGAGATTGATAAGTACAGCCTCTAGTATATTTCTACTAACCCTCACACACACATTCAGCCTTTACTTAGTAGTCATACTTACCCTTAGAAACAAGCATATCAAAAGCGAATGCTAGTACTCTATGTACTACCTTAAGCTATCAATCATTTCCTTTTTGCATGTAAGCTTATCGCGTATTCAATTCAGTAAGACCTTATTAAGTAGACACAAATTCTAAGAAGCAATGCAGGGACAACAGAAAAGAACAAACACACCGAGAACCAACCATTTCTTTTAAGACTGAGACATCTAGATAAAAGAAAAATGTCAGTTAATTTGCATACCCCAAACGCAAAAGTTGTGGGAGCACCTTCTGGAGATAGTATGCTGGACTCGACCAAGCTTTTAATCTCAAATTAACAATACTGCTTATATTGTAGTTGTACCGCTCAAGTATATCTTTTGGGAGCTCTTTCACTACATTCACATTCTTACTAAGAGCATATATGAAGAAGTCTTCGTCAAATATATCGCCAAATTTGCTGTAAGACAACAAACAGAAGAAAAAAGCAAAAGAAATATGTAAGTAAATCATGCTGCCAAAGATAGCAACTTGATCTGAAGATTGCGGATATTTCTGTTATTAAACTAATTCCATGACAATGTGTGATGAAAGTTTCAAAGGCAGCATAATCAGAAACCAAATTGTAACCTGGAATCACGCCATACACTGTTCAAGTGAAAAATCGGAATGACAAGAGTAGCATTCAGCAGTCCAGCCACAGCAACTGCATCACATATCTACATCAAGACGCGAGACATACCTCTCCAATCAACAAAACAACACAACTTCACTAAAAAAAAAGCCAGTCTAAAGCCACAGAGAGTAAAACATACTGACAAGCGTTGTTGATTCAATCCGCCATTCGCTTCAATAATAAAATAACCATTCGGATTCGATCCCGCAGCAGAAACATTAGTACTAATACACGGTTTCCATATACTTTTAACTCTTGGCTTCCATGCTTCCATCAACTACATACAACAACAAACACTCAATAAACTCAACAATTCCACAAATCATCACCAAACAATCCATCAATTCACATTACCACATTATGACTAGTTCCATTAACATCAGCCTCCATCAAAGGCCAAAGCCGTTTAAAAACCTTAGGACTCCGATACACCGAACCAGGAGGACCACGTCTATAAACAATCTCAACACCATGACCTAGATCCAACACAGTAAATCCAAAAGATCCCATAAACAGTAACATTCCAGCTATATAGAGAAGCGGCGCTAACAACAAGACACCTTTCCTCCTAAAAACTATCGAAAAGAGTAAAAACACAAGTCTCTCTCCTAATCCCTGCTTATAAACACCTCCGGCGAGTGATTTTCCTCTACTGTGACGAATCCGAGGCGAAGAAGGCGGTGACGGTGACGAAAGATTGATTCGACCGTTGCTATTGCCGTTACCAAGACGGCTAAGGCCGTGCATGATCTGAAATCGATTGAGGTAAACCCTAGAAAAACACGGAGATAGATTTGGAAAGAGAAGGTAGTAGTAGTAGCATTGTGTGGGAACGAATTTTTTTTTTTTTTTTTAGTCAAAAATTTAATTTAGAGAAGAAGAAGAAAAAAAAAATGGTGGAGAATTTTCCCGGAAAATGAGAGAAAGAGAAAGAAAGTTTTTTGAGCTTTTCGAGTAAATTAACGTAATCACGTGAAGAAAGCAGTAATGCCGAGAGAGAGTGGCGCGTGAGATTTGGACTTTTTTGTTTTTTGGTTCGTGGTCGTTTTTATTTATCTATAATAAATAACAATATTTGAGAAGTGTTTTTGCTGACGTGTCGGACTCTCGGCCCTTGTTGAGTCCTTGATTTTACGTAATTACTTAATTACCCTTAATGAAATCTAATTAATTTTGGAAAAATTAAATTGTATTTTAAAAAAAATAATCGGAAAAGGAAAATATTTATTATAATATTGATATATTTAAGATGATAATGTCAAATATCCGAAAATTATTAATCGGAGCATTAATATAAACATAAAAATTACTATTCTAACCTTACTCAAATTAATAAGATTTAGATATCCGAAATTAATCATAAACGGCTATTAATTGTTAAACTAATTAAAATAAAGATCAAACGTACCGGAATAGATGAAATTTTTTGGTATGATCGTCGTGTTCGTCGTCGTTTCAATCTAAATATTTGGAAAAAAAAAACGAACAAAAAAAATAATATATAGTTCAATGAAAGAGAACCCACCAATTTAGAAACGGTTATCACGCCATCGTATTGTTCGTCGGATGATTATAAGTCACTAATCCGGAGATTGACTTGAACCCTAACAAAAACATATATTCATAGCATAAAATCGTAAATAGAAGGTAGAAGACCACCTATTAATCGGTTGTAACCTTGTGCAAACTAGATTTAATTTTGACGAATGAAATGTTGGTGTGGTGTCAAAACTTTCTTGGGGAGACTCGAAGATGAGAGAGCTGAAGTCAGAGATAGGCAGAGAGGTTTACGTGTGAATTAAGGTATGGAGTGCTAACGTGAACATGAACGTGAACGGCGGTGATTTTTGCACATAATAGCAATTAGATCGAGTTTTGGAAAAAAATATGGATCAGCGTGACATGACGCATATGGATACCATGCATGTCTATCTATTGTAAATCAAAAATTATATTATTGTTCCGCCTTATTTTTGAAACAGAAACGAATTTTTCCTTAAATTTTAATATATTTTATAAGATAGTATCAGATATATTAGTAAATCTAAAATAGTTGTTATTATTCCATATTTTTACGGAAAAAAGTAAATATTATTTTAAATAAACATGGATAACAATGAATAAATGGCAGTTTTACAGATATTTATTATTATGATAGTGATTTGCTTATTAAAATATGTAAATTTTCTTTTCTTTTTTTGTATTTATCGTCGAAAAAATTAGAAACCCTAAATCATGCACCGCCTCCTATTCAATATAAATACCTTGCTCATGGTATTCAATTTCAGATCATAACTAACCCCTGTTTTTTATGTTCTTTTTTTTCAAACTTTTTTTTGCTTCTACCTAATTTTAATTTTTCTTTTTATTGTAGGGTGGATGTATGGAGGGGACGATGTGAACTGGTGTATGGAAAATTTGGACCTCATTCAATGAATAAACAGGTGATCTTATAGTTTATATGTACAAATTTGATTTTTTTTTTTTTTGTATTTATGGTTTCACTATTTTCACCACTAATCAATTTTTATAATCAAAAAGTTTGGTTTCAACTTTTGAGAAGGTAATCATCGATGGTTTGGTATGTTTCTTTTTGTTGTAAAAAGATGAGGTACCTCCCGATTTTGTTGAGGTACATGTTCTTATTATTTTCAAATATGTCTTTTTTCAGAAGAAACACTCAACTTTTGATAACACAGTTGCCACAAAGTCAGAAAGATGACTTATTTCAGGGATGAATCTTCAGAGGAGGCTAATTTTTGTCGTTAATACAATTTAAGTATTCCTCTCTTTAGATTCGGGATAACAAACTTGGCTGTTAAATTCAGGAATTACTCTTCGTTGCCAATCTCTCTCCCCAAACTAAAATATTACATATATGTAAGTAGTAACTTAAAGTTTTTGGTATCGAGGTCATTCTAAGGCACTGAGATTCGGACTTTGGTATGTATAGGATTCGTTTTCCATGCACTAAGATTTAATTATTGTTTAATTTATTGGTTTTTAGGTTTCTTTCCATGCTCTGATGCGTTTTCGGGTGTGCCAATGGAAGCTTGCATCACTCTTTACTCCAAGCGTAAGTATGCTCTGCATTAGCTTCTTCTGTTCCATTGGTTATTATGGGTTTTGACTTTTGAGAAATATACAACAATTTAAAACATGTTGTGAACTGTGTCTTTCATTAATAGAATAAGGGATATATATACAAGGATAATAGCAGGATACAGAGAATAAGGTAAAACCCTAATGGGCCATGGGCCGGTTATGGAGTCCATCCATATGGTTTATAACACTCCCCCTTGGAAGACATAACCGTGCCCAATACTAAACCGGGATCTCTATAATGCGCTGGGGAATGTTGCCTCATTAAAACCTTACCAGGAAAACCCAGTGGGACAAAACCATGGTGAAGGAAAAAGAGTACAACACGCATTACTCCCCCTGATTTGAGCATCACTGTAGATCCTTAAGTCCGCGCATCCCGATCTGATGAATGAGCTTCCGGAACGTTGAAGTCGGCAATGATTTGGTGAATAGGTCGGCTGAATTCTCACTTGACCGGATCTGTTGAACTTTGACCTGACCGTCCTTCTGTAATTCATGAGTGAAGAAGAGCTTTGGCAAAATGTGCTTCGTCCGGTCTCTCTTAGTGTAGCCGTCCTTGAGTTGAGCAATACAGGCTGCGTTGTCTTCAAATATGATGGTCTTTGATGTAGTAGTAGCTGCGCCTTAAGGAAGGCTGCCTACGTACCCTTGGAAGGGATCAAGCCACACGTAGTTCCTATTCATTGACCATGCCATAATCTGATCTTATGAATAACCTGCATCAGCAAATCAAACTAAACCAATGCAAACTGGACCTTCTTTGGTTAGATCAGTATAGAATAAACCCAAGTAAACAACGCAGGAAGAATAAACTTTAAAATTTAACCAAACCTTCCTTTAAACCTTTCCAGTGCCTTTGGGTTGATCATGAACTAAATTTAGATAGGAGACTCACGGCAAAACAAATGTTTGGTCTAGTGTGTCTAGCCAAATTCATTAGAACTCCTATGGCACTGAGGTATGGCATTTCTGGACTAAATGGATCACTATCCAATCTGAGGCTTCTCACCACCATTGGGCCTGGTCAATGGGCGGGCCTGGTCCTTATTAAATTTCCTTGAGTACTCTTTCAGTGTATGCCATTTGATGCACAAGGATTCCATTATTCACGTACTCAGGTTGTAATCCCAAACAGAACTTAATTATTGCCTAGGTCTTTCATTTGAGATTCTTTCTTTAGATATACTCAACTGTTTGGGCGATTACCCAGAGGTTTAAATCATTCATATACACTGCTATGATTACAAATCCTTTGTTTGCAAACTTCTTGATAAAAATACATGGACTGATCGGATCGTTTTTATAGCCTTCTCTGATGAGATATTCGCTTAACCGGTTATACCACATACGTCCGCTTTGTTTCAGTCCATATAAGGATTTGTCCAGCCTTATGCAGTGCTGTTCTCGAAAATCTTTCTTATCTTTGAGCTCAATACCCTCTGGTAATCTAATATATTATCCAGTGGACTTATATAAATATGCAGGCATTACATCCATTAGCCGCAAATCTTTCTCTTTTATATAGCCAGACTTAGCAAAAATTTAAATGTCTTAGCATCCACCACATGGGAGTATATCTCCTCTATTTCTGGTCTTTGTGTGAATCCTTGTGCGACAAGCCGTGTCTGATATATCACGCTTTCACTATGTTTATTTCACACTATCACAAAGACTCATTTGTCCCACTGGCTTTACATTGAATGGTGTCCTTTGTATTGGACCAAACACATTCTTCTTCTTAATGATTCTTAGCTCCACGTTTTATGGTCTTGTACCATTTTAATCAATCAGGTCTTTGAGTGCACTCTAGTATAGACGTGGGCTCCTGATCCTCATTCATTTCAGTTGCTACCTTGTGCGCAAATATATTATCATTGATGTCGACATCTTTTCGGTTCCATTGTATTCTAGACATGATATAGTTTATAGAGATCTCTTTACACCTTCAGAACCTTGAGGTTTGGCGTCCCAAACCTCATTGATTGGTACCTTAGGGTTATGTCTATTAGCCGGCCATGTATATGGTTTCTTGAACCTTCTCGGTTTCCCTTGCACCTTTCTTTGATTTCCGAGGGTTCTTGTCTTTGGAACCTTTTGGGTCTACCACGTTTCTTACGTGTTGTAGCCTCTGTAGCAACTTGATTGTGTTCCTTGTGAACATCAATACGTACTGGTGCATTACAAGCTGGTATGTACGATTTTGTTACTCTCTTTGGGTCATTATAGGAATCTTGGCAACTGTTTTAGCTAGCTTTTGCAGATATATAGTCTTTTGGATCTCTGATGGAGTCCGAGGATCTTGCCATATGAAGGATGTTTGATTCCATGTAAGTTCTTTGACCAGCTTGTTAGTCTCTCCACCCAGTGTTGGGAAAACGGATTCATTGAGATGACAATCCTTGTATCTGGCCTTTGGCTCGAGATACTTAATGATGGTGGGAGAATCATTTTTAACGTATATTCCCATCCCCTTTTGAGGTCCCATTATTTGCTCTCTGTGGTGGTGCTATGGGTAAATAGGTGACACACCCAAATGTCTTTAGATGGGACATATCTGGCTCCTGACCTGTGAGTAGTTGGGATGGTGAATATCTATGCTCACTAGAATGGCCTGATGCGTATAAGCTCTTGTTGCATGTAATATTGCGTGTCCCCAAGCAGCTACTGTGAGTTCAAGTATGGACATGTGCCACGGGGTATACTA